TTTGCGTTGAAGAAAAGTAGATTTTTGTTTGTATATGCTGTCAATTATAGTTCTTAGAAAGAAAATCGGAATTGGCAAAATTCGGTATCGGCAGGTCACACTTCCAAAAAATCGGAAATCGGAATCGGCCAAGAAAATTGCAATCGGTGCATCTCTACAAAGCATCCTTACAATTAAAAGCCGTTAACGCAAAAATTATTTTTTAATTTTTTTTTAATTTTTTTAAGAAAACATAAGTAAGTTAATGTTCTTTGACTTACTGCCACCGAATCTCGAATCCACCATACCTTTTGAACATCCGGAAGTGAATGAACCTGTACATGCGCATTAATGCCAGTCAGTACGGCGCGCATGCGCATTTAAGACATGCGATACGTCACTTTGCGCATGCGTGGTAAACACATACATACGTGCCATAGGTAAAAAAAAAAAAAAAAACCTACGGTGACATAGGTACGTGACGTCACTGCACTACAGTCTGCAGCGAGGAGTACTTGTGGGGCCGAGGGGGATCCAAGATGGCATCCTACTAAGTCTACTTATATAGTGCTCCGCTGACAAATCTGCTTTTAACAGCTAAACTACGCTATATATAATCGTGCTACACGTATTAGAATCTACATTTATTTTACTGTGAAGTTACCTCTCAAAACTTTGAAAATGAAATCAGCAGCAGATAAAAGGAAAGGAGGAGAGACACCGCGTGCTTATCGTGTATCTAGTACACGGCTCAGAACATTCAGCTGGAGTTATGATTTTGAAAAACTGTTTTGTTGGAGACGTTTTACACCACTTTTGCGACCAGAAGGGACATTTTCTGCTGTTGGTAATCTGTTTAAATAATATTGTAGTAATACTGATTAATATATATGGTTATAATGTCACCCATGAGAATGACTTGCTGTTTGAAGTGATAGAAGAGAAAACTGTTGTGGCTTAACACGTACCTAGATGCCCTAGTTTTTATTGGGGAAGACTTTAATATTGTGCCCGATAACCAGATGGATAGACTACCACCTAGAGAGGCCACTTCTGTTAACTCTAAACTGAAAATATTCATGGACAAATTTAATGTCATCGATATTTGGAGGGAAACTTTTCCAAATATTAAGTCTTATACTTGGAGTAACAAAAGTTGTTAAAGACAGTCTCGTATTGACTACTGGCTTGTATCTAAGTGTGTCAAGAACTTTAATGCTGCTATTAGCATTCTTCCCTCCCCTCTAACTGATCATAGGGCCATTCTTCTTCAATCCCCTCTTTCCTCAGTCAATATTTCCTCAGGTCCTAGAGCATCTTATTGGAGGATGGTTTGTCAGAAGCTGAGCTAGTAGAACTTGCTGAATTGCAAACTAAGTTAGACTCAATATACAAGTACAGGGCAGATGGCTCCTTTATTCGCTCTAGAAGAAGATGGCTTGAGCAGGGAGAGCAAAGCACAGCTTACATTTTTAGAATGGAAATAATAATTCTAGAAATTTAACTATTGACTCTCTGAACATTAATGGTACAGTTTCTTCTGACCCTAAGCAAATTGGTACGTTTTGTGCAAATTTTTATACTACTCTTTACAAATCTAATTATTGTGAGGACTCGGCATTGTTATTTTTTCAATCTCTGAAGGGGATTAAGATTTATCTATTGATGAGAAGATCACCTGTGACAGAGATATAACTGTTGCATCTTTTTCAGAATGATATAACTACTGTTCCTTCTGTTGTATTTCACTGGAGTAATTATCTTTATGATATTCCTTGGAAGAGTGTGTGGTCGTTACCCAATAAATATTTAATTACGAACAAGGTTAAAGAGGTATCCTTTAAATTGCTACATCGAGTTTACCCTGTGAATGTTTATATTATAAAAATGCTTCCGGAGAAGGATCCTCTTTGTTCCTTTTGTGGAATGGTAGATGAGTTTGTCTCTCATCTCTTTTGGGAATGTAACCATTTTTGGGAAAAAAAATTCTGTTTATTTATGTTTTTCTCTCTTAGACAATTTTTCTTTGTCGTACAAGGATGTTTTATTTGGTTTTTATCATGTTGATAAGAATCTAAAGGACAAATATTTTCTAATAAATCTATTTATTTTGCTAGCAAAATTTTTTATACATAAGTGCAAATTTTTGTCTGTAAAGCCCCTATTTCTTATATTTTGTAAAGATCTGAAGTATTACTTGGAAACAATATCTACCTCCAGCAATGTTAAAGCCTTAAAATCGATAGCATTGTGTGCATCTTATAATATTGGTTCTTTCCTGTAATGTACAGTTGACTGAATGCTCTGTGACCTTTTGCCTGGTTGCTAAAAAGTGCCTTTTCCTGAACTGCACCTTCACTTCCATTTTTCTTTTCAGTCTCTTTATTTTGCCCTGATATCTATCTCTTTCATGACTTTAATACTCAAGATTTAACAAAACTATATTTTTTTAATTGCCTACGTCCAAATTAGTACGTCACTACAATATCTTTATAGAAAAATCCTAATACTGAACATGAATCATGTTTTTCCCTTACAAAAATTGTTTTTTTTCTTTTCTCTCTCTCGCATTGATTACTCTGATCCAAACCGTTTGGCGGAGGCGCGGAGGGCGCGCGAGCCGAAGCATTGCCAGTCACAACTAACCTATTCATGATTTATTAGAGATTTATTATCGAATGTTTTAATTACACATTTTTTCTTAGTAACTGTAACTGATTACAGTTACATTTATTTTGTAATTAAATTACGTAACGCCATTACATGTAACTAGTTACTCCCCAACACTGCTTTTGAGGCACCTTTACTTTATATAATGTAATTTATATTACCCCTGGCCCTGTTTGTTGTTGTTGTTATATTTTTATATACTTGTTGCTAATCCTAATAAAGGAAGGGAAAAAAAAAAAAAGTACTTGTGGGGCCAGTGTTTCAAAGATGGTCGCCAAGTGACATGACTTGCCTTAAAGGGAATTTGAACGAAACAGCATGCGTAAAAGCTTCGAAGCTTGCATTTTTTGCCACGTTGAACAGTTAGTGTATTTGCGTTATTTTGAGGTTAGATTTAGGGTTTAAATAGGTGTAGACGTTAATAAAACACAATCTGACCGGTAGCAAATTTAATTTATGGCGAGATTTTGCTTCACTTCCAGCCGTAGCTGTATCCCTCCCATTAAAGAGCTAACTGACCTCATTCCATTCAGGACATTCAGTATTTAAGGACATTCAGACCTAGTTGTTTAAAGAAAACACACCAGTACTTCAAAAAGATGTTTTGGCTTGTTTTATTGTAAATACGACAAAAAGGAAACAATTTTATTTTACAGTTATTGATCTATATATTGGCATGAATTAATATTTAAACATTTGAAGAGACACCTGTGAGATTCTGGTTTATTCAAGTTGCAGCAAATGCATGAAACAGCAGGTGGGGACTGAATTTAAAAATGACATCTGAATCTAAATAAATCATCCATTATTTACTTCCTGCTAAAAACTATTCCTCTCCTCTCCACAAACGATGCAGACATATAAAGTAAAATAAATTAAAATATGCAATCATCATGATCAGCTACACCTTGCAAATTAAATGAACAAAAGATATGTAGCAAATGTACAAATCAAATCAAATATACAGTACTGACCACTCACCTACACAGAGACAGATCTGCACGTTATGTGCCGCTGTCTCATGTATAATTCACATCCAATGGCCAATGAAAAGGCAGATCAACAAATTATTTGCATAATTTATTCATGTTTTCATTTCTGAACTCAGTCTTAGCTTCCAGCTGACTAGTAATTACACCCCTGTAGTAAAACGACTATATTTCAGTATCAGTGTTGTTGACTGAAAAATATCCTTCTCACTCGCTTCTCACACTTTTTAAATAGGGGGATGAAAAAAAATTCTCAGTATTCGTGTATGCGGATTTCAAACATCTCAATCCATGTATTAAACCGCATTTCTGCAGTCACTCTCAGCTACAAGGATATTGCTTACTGTGGCTGTGGTTGTACAATGTAATCATCACATATGATTATAATATTATTTAAATACAACAAACATCAATGCACAAATTATACAATGGAGAATGGGTCTAAAATGTGGTAGAAGACCAAAGAAAAAGAAATCCTTATACGATGATAAATTATGGGTTGTTATCGGTGCAATGTGTCTGATACAAAAACATCAACATTAATAATTGTTCTTTTTTTTCATAAATAATGAAACGTGTGAGTGGGGGAGGGTTTCTTTTTCTCTTTTTTTTAATTTGTTGATTTTTTTTCTCCTCTTTATTCTTTTTTTATGGTCCGCTTACATGCCTGGCTTTCCTAACCATCACAATATTTACATATATGACAAAACAATTACCAAATATACAAAAAGGAAAGAGAAGCTTGTTTCCTGTCTGAGCAGTTCACTTCCTCCCTGTGAATCGGCAGGCCTTCATCTATAATCATCCAAATCATCATCATTTTGTTGGAACTACACAATATCTTACAGCAAGTTATTAATAAATTAAAGGATTATGGGCTCTTCCGTAATGGAGAGCGAGCGGGAAGTATGATTTTTATCCCCTTGTAGTGAAGAACTGCGCCATTGCAGTTTGTATTTACAAAGACTAAGTTCACCGCTGCATCTTAATCCCACCCCAGACCCCCTCCCTCCCTCCTTCCTCAAAAAATCGGTTTGTTGGTGGTTTATCTCTAAGCCTCTTCTGCTGGGAACTGCGGTACAGTCCATCCAGTCCTGCTGTCCTACTGGCTTCGATCTTGTACGATGATCTTCACAGACAAAAGGACATTAGGCAACTCATCATAGTATGTGGGGAGTGAAGGACAACCTTAAAGGTCTAAGTAACGTTAGTGATATGTCTTGTGTTTTCATCTGGGTTTAACTCCACCCTGAACTTAGAGGGACACCATCATCTGTCAAGCAGGAAATGATCTCCACTTCTCTCACTGCTTCAACTACGGACCCTAAACAAGGTCCCTCGCTCTCCTCCTGTCTCTGTCGCTCTTTGTTCTGTCTCAGTATCTGTTCTGGTGTTCGTAGTGCCATCGATTGAAATCAATGTTAAACGCCACGATGCTGCCTGACGCCATCCCAGTGATCAAAGTCCTGCGAATATATAGAAAAAGTAATAAGAAAAATGTCCATAATATAAATGTGTATAGTACTAAGTCATGTAAAATATATAGTTTTTTTTATAACTAGAAGCAAAATAGTTAACATATTTTAGTTAAAATAGTTGAGCAAACTAAAATATTAATATTAATATATACAGGTTATAGCAAAAAACTCTATTTTATATAAATCATAATTATTTATTTGGTGGTAGTCCGGGGGTTCCGTTTTTTTTTTCTGGACTCCTCTTTAATGGTTAAATTTAATTTTATTAATCAAAAAGCATGTCTAATTAATTAAAATCATGAAACTTAAACAATTTAACATCAATTTATTAAAAGTTTAACAAAAAATTACATGGCCCTATGAAATGTTTTATTTTTTCCAACCTTATGTTTTATTGTTACCAAATTCTGATTTAGCATGTCTAATTATTTGAAAGCATAAAAACAAGTTTAATTTATTCTTACAATAGCCTTATGATTTTTTGCTCAGAAATTCTGTGTTGTGTATTTACATTTTTAAGGCATAAAATATTCATTTAATCTATCTTTTAAGTAATGAAAATTAAACAAATTTTATTTTTTGGAAAATAAAGGTAATTTAATATTACAATTAAAACATTGAAGAAATATTGTATGATTATTCCTTAAAAATAAGGTTTTAATAATTTTAGTAGTAGTAGTAGCCTATTACGTACATTCTACTGAACAATAGTCATATATTTCTGCCGCAATGCCTTCGGTTAAACCGAACTTTTATTTTGACGGGTTGCCGTGAATACCTTTACATTTGTATATATTTATTATGTATATATAAATACACACACATACAGTATATATTTTGAAAATATTTACATGTACATGTTTGTATTTATATTAATATAATTTATAAATAAATATATTTAATATATATAAACAACATTTTTCTGAAATATATACATGCATGTGTGTGTATTTATATATACATAATAAATATATACAGAACACACATATATTATGCAAACAAAAACTTTTATTTTGGATGTGATTGATCACAATTAATCGTTTGACAGCACTAATATATATATTATAAATTATAAAAAAAAATTTACTATAAACTTTTTTATTTAACAAAACAACATTGTTAAAATTAATGTTCAATGTATATGTATATTATTATTTTTAGGTCAGGTGTGCCCACCTCTGGTCATGGGATAAGTCCATAGCCCTGATGCCTGCGTCACAGCCTGGGTAAATATACAGCTGCTTAAAATCACAGGCCTGCCAGACTTCAACAACACCGTTATCACCTCCTGTTACCAAGTTCTGACCGTCGCTGCTCAACAGAATGGCCTGGGGGAACACAAAAGCAGATTAAATACAGAGACTAATGTGATTAATGTGTATTTGTTTCTGTTCCAACATGTATGTCTCCTCTTACACGTGTGGAGTCATTGATCTCCATCTGTGCCAGGAGTTTGCCATTAATGCTGAAGTTACAGAAGTGTCCTCTCTCATAGTAGATGATACAGTGGCCCTCACTGGACACAGAGATCAGACGGGGCCAGACACAGTTCTCAGGGCCCTCTAGGGCCCGCAGTAAATCTCCTGTGATGGTGTGCACCAAACATGGCCCCTCTGTAAAACAAGACAACAGCAAGAAACTATCAATTCTGTCATTACACAGCAAGCAGAGACACTAAAAAGGGAGAAATTAGGAAAAAATTACAATCACAATTTTTTAAATAAACATCTTTGACATATTTAATTCCTTAACTGTAATGGGTTTATATAAGCCCTCATGGAAACCAATACTAGTATGAAAAGAGTTGATTTCTGATATGCAGAATTCAGATTGCTTCCTCTCAGACTGACCTTTGGCCCCACTGATGACAAGTCCCAGTTCAGCACACACTGACACACACACCACCTCATGGTCATGGCCTGTGAGAACCGCTCTAGGTGCTGGATAATCACCTACAATACAACAGAAGGTCAGCTTCTAGAATCCTAAAAATCTCATCAAACATTTGTTTTTTGCCACAGAACTAAAACTCATTACCACACCAAAGTAAAAATGAAAAAGAAGATTATGTTAGGAATGAGATGAAGGTAGGTAAGCAGGCAATAAAAAGGAATGAATTTAATATATTCAGCAAAAAAATCAGACCATTTTTCTCTGAGTGTAACATCAATGTTAAGTATTAAAACATGTCCTATGTGTGATATCTTGCACACTATACTGTTCAAAAGTTTGGGGTCAGTTAGTAAGATTTTATTTTTAAGAAATTAATACTGCAAGGATGCAATTGCAGTAATTGATCTGAGTGACAGCAAAAAAGATTTCTATTTGATAGAAAACTTTCTATTCCTCTAAGAATCGTGAAAAAAAACCCAGCTTCCACAAAGTATATTAAATAGTACTGATTTTAATATTAATAATAATCAGCATATTGAATGATTTCTGAAGGATCATGTGACTTTAAAGACTGGAGTAATGGCTGCTGAAAATGTAGCTTTGCATCACAGGAAAAAATTACATTTAATGCATTAAAATAAAAACGGCTATTTTAAATTGTAATCATATTTCACAATAGTACTGTTTTACAGTGTTTTGGATTAAATGTATGCAGCCTTGTTGAGCACTGAGTTATGTAAATGAAAGCGATACTCATGTACTCTGGGTCATTTGGTTTAAAAACATTGTGCTCACTGTTGTTGGGATTGTCTCCGATGATGTGGTGTCGTCCGCTCCAGTACCACAGCAGAAGGGTTGCATCTCGTGAGCCAGAGACAATGTAGCAATCACCTCCAATGTAGGACTCAGATCGCGCAAGACAGGTCACCACATCCCAGTGACCAAACACGATCTGAGTGAGTTTCCCTGAATGAAGAGTGAGCAGAAGAGCATATGTGCACATAGACATTTTTTTTGTAGTAAAGAGTGAAAGTCTTTTATATGTACAAGTTGGCATACAAAATAGCATAAAATCCCAAAAGACACAAGCACCTGTCTCAGTGGAGTAAACACGGAAACTCTTGTCCCAGAAACCACATGCCAGGATGTAGCGGTTGTCGGCTGTCACCACAAAGCAGTGCGTGTTGATCTGAATGCTTTGATCCACCAAATCTGTGATCTGCCTTTTACTAATGCCAGAGTTATTGGCTGGGAAAGAAAACACAGACCAGGTGTGAATATTGGAAAAATATCCAGTTTGAGTCTGAAAGATACAACCAAGTTTCATCAGACTTTTAAAAAGGACAGTCCACACAAAAATGAAAATTCTCTCATAATTTACTCACCCTCATGTCGTTCCAAACCTGTATGCATTTCTTACTTCTGCAGAACATAGAAGATATTTTGAAGAAAGTTGGTAACCAAACAGTTTCGGTTCCCATTGACTTCATTTAATGGAGCAAAAACTACAATGGAAGTCAATGGGCACTGAAACCATTTGCTTACCTACATTCTTCAAAATATCTTCTTTTGTGTTCAACAGAAGAAAGATATTCAGGTTTGGACATGAATGGGAATAAATCATGTCAGAATTTAAATTTTTGGGTGAACTATGCCTTTAAAGGGGTCATATGATGCGATTTCAATTTTTCCTTTCTCTTTGGAGTGTTACAAGCTCTTGGTGCATAAAGAAGATCTGTAAAGTTGCAAAGACTAAAGTCTCAAATCCAAAGAATCCGCTTCGTCATGCCTTGAGCTGATCCGTGCTGGTCGCTGAGGAAATACACCAACTTCGCACTGTGGATCGCCGGATCGGCTTTCCCCGTGGACGAAGTGGAGTCCAGCCTGGGGTCGTCACATGTGGTTCCCGAAAGCCCGCCCGCCGCTGCTCACTCAAGCCGGCCTCCGTTCACTCTAGCCGCTGGCCTCTGCTCTCTTTAGGCCTCCGCTCACTCAAGCCCGCCGTGTGTGACGCTGTTTTATAACAAGAGACCATATTGATCTATTTAAAAGAGATCTAATATAGGTAACTCATTAAGAAAAATTTAACATAGATCACAATAAATAGAGGTGTCTTGATAATAAAGACTCACCAGGTGCATGGCGGAGCTGCGTGGAGGGTGAGGCTCTATTAGCAGCTGTGATGGAGCCTGTCCAAATGACTGAATTTGAGCCTCCATAGACTAAAAAGATGACAGAGACAAAACAAGCTGTTACATCTTTATCTGACAGACCCCTGAGCTGCCTCACATCTGACAGACATTTACAGACATGGACAAGCTGAACACTGCTGTCAACATAGAAATGAAATAAACATATTCACTCATTTTGGACAGAGGAGAGAAACATATTGACAGGAAACATCATGAAAGACTAATGATTAAGCTTATCATATAAGATTTAGTTTTTTCTAATGTCAAATTTTTTGATAAATAAAAACAGCACTGCACTCTTGTGTGTTAAACAGGAAACTGGTGTTTACAGGTAAATGTATTAAATATTTTAATTATAATAATATCATACTTTAAATTTGTGTCAATTGTTTTTAATTGTTTAATAAATTATTTTAATTGTTTAATACATTATTAGACCTTTCGAAATGTTAAAAAATAGGATTAACTATTAAGACATTAAGTGTTTTGTCAATAATACTTACTGTCAATAATAATGAATCCTAATTACTGACATGAAACATTTTAATATTACTATTATTTATTAAAAAATATTAAATATTTTGTTCTTATTTAATAATTAGAGTTTTTGAGATGTTACTAAAATGCTTCACATTAAGATTACTTATGATTATTTAATTAAAGATTGTTATATTGACATTAAGCATTTTGAGATTATTGTCTACATTAAGTGTTTTGAGATTAATTGTTATTATTGCAATATTAAATATGTAATAATCAATGTTATTAACAGCTTTGAATGTTTTTTTGTTGTCTTCATTATTTTGTTTTATTTTTACTAAAATAACAAAGCATTTCATTCTGCATATTTTAGTGAGACGTGTAAAGATGTCAATAAAACAAAAATGTATGGGAAAAAAATCAGTATTATAAAAACAACAACACTGGCCAATGTCTAATAAAAACCCACCAAAAACACAGCTTAACGTGATTCACACAAGCAGGACAAGTTCCTAGATCGATATCCTCCACTGGATCAATACTCACTGACCTCTCTGAGCTGGGGGTCGGTGATGGTGTCCAAGTTCACAGATCCCTCGTAAGACAGGTAATGGAAAACATTGAGAGCCCTAATGGCCTCCGGTCCTCTCTGCTTGTAGCCGAAGATGAGATCGATCCACTGGTGCAACTGACAGGACACAAATTCACTCTCCAGCGCCTGAGACGGGAAGAAGACAACAGGGTTAACACAAGGACCAATCGGCTTCAAAAAGAAATTACTAGCCTTGTAAAGGCTGTGCGAGGTTCAAAGTTCATTTCTTTTTTTCTACAAACTAGAGCTGCTTTTGATTCTTGAAACACTGGCTGAATTGGACTATTAATCCTAATGGCAGCTGAAATTGCGCACTAATGTGGACCAAACAAAGGTGCTTAGACACACATAATCTTTCCATCCCTCACCATCCTGTTGATGCGAACAAAGTCCTCTGGTTTTTTGGCCCAGACTGGTAGTTCCACATCACACACGGCTGTCCTGTCCTCTCTCACCCCCAGGTCATATCCACTGCTGTTCACAAACATCTCAGGGAGGTAGTAGAACTCCGGGATCAACTCCTGTTATACAAACAAATGTGTTGACAAACATGTTGACGAGTTACAGAATCGCTTTACCTCACAAAATTTTGCTCACCCTAACATCTGATGTATCCCTCTGGCAACTTCGCCAAGAGCGTGCAATGCCAGAAAACGTCCGATCGGGATGGTCGAACTTGTTATTACAATTCAAGAAAAATGTGGTGAAGGGTTCCTGTGGGATGAAGGAAGTGGCGCACAATTTCCAATTAAACAACTTTCATAAGAGCTTTTCTAAAAAGCACAATTTTGGGATTTTCAAGTTCTGAGAGATAATACAATATAAATGGACTATAGTGAAGACTCACTATCCTGACTAGCCAGAAGAGAGTGGATGCCGCAGTTGAGTACAGAGATGCGTAATGATGGGGCGGAGTTCCATCATCTTCCCACGTCTCATAGTGTTCGGCATAGAACACGGCTCGCTTTGGATTCAGGGCTCCGATTGGCTATATTGTCAAACAGGAAGTAGAAAAAGGCATTCTGGATATTATACTAAACAAATTACTAAAATATATATATATTTTTTAAAGTTACAGCTCACTTTGGATTCAGGGCTCTGAAAGCTGAGTATTATTATATTTAAATTAGTATATTTATATCATATAAGTTACCATTCAAAAGTTTGGGGTCAGTAAGAAATCAGTACTTTTATTCAGCAAGCACACATTAAATTGATCAAGAGTAACAATAAAGTCATTTATAATTAAAAAAATATTTCAAATACAAGCTGTTATTTTGAATGACTCAAAAGAATCCTAAAAGAAATGATCACAGTTTCCACAAAACTGGAAAAAAAGCTGAAAATGTAGCTTTGCCATCGCAGGAATAAAATTACAAAAAAGTTATTTTAAATATTAATAATATTTCACTATATTACGGTTTTTAAAAGCAAATACAGTAAGAAGTTGAATTAAATTACAAAACCAAACTGGGGTCCAAAAAAAAATAAGACGACATTAAAAATCTGAAATTCAAAATCAGGTATTTTGAAAAATTCTGGATGATTTGTGTAGCTCTAAATGGGTAATGGTAAACACTTTCAGGACTGGCATACCTTTGAGAGATCCCGGAAATTCCCAGGCAAGGTAAGATCCAGGTCCTCTGACTCATAGTTAGTCAGGACCCAAGGGAAGACAGGATACTGGTTCAGATCATTATAGGTCCTCCCTGCAAACAAACATTAACAGACAATGTTGTGTGTGAGCATGTAACATATCCCAATTTGATTCATTATATTGCTTGTAGTGATAAAACTATTAGTTGCAATCATAGGAATCATCTTACCTGCAATCGTGTTGAGGAACATGAGGTACTCAAAATTTGAAATCTCCCTCCGCTGCCATCTCTGAGTCATATTAGACGACTTAAAGAGCTGCCTTGGTGTTGCCAGAGAGATCCGTCTATGGGAGGAACAGCACAATAACAAGCAATCATTTAGCTTTGGCAAATAACACATTTACTGTTGATTACCAATGAAATGTTTAGTCGCATAAGAACCCCTCCTAAACTGATCTCACATCACAGAATCAGTTTCAATATTAAAAAACCTACACCTTACCTTGCCTGAGGGAGGCCATAGCTGGTGCCAACGCCGACCCGAGGTAAACTGTACACTACCTTCTTTACTGTGCCCTGATCCAGGAAATTGAACATGACAGATGCTGTAGAGATAATGAAATAGTGCCATTAAAAACCTTAAACTAAACATCAGTTTGACATTGTTGTTAAACATGTTGGCATCTTACTCCTGTTGGCCATGAAGACCTCTAATCCAGTGTTTTGGAGCAGGTAGCGTCTGGAAAAAACTGCTCTGATCTCACTGAACATCCATTTCCCATGCAGACCCTCAGTATATGCCAACACCTGACAAACACAAAAGCAAAGCATTTAAATACAATCAGAGGAACAGTGGTTAGCAAAGAAGACAGCATGATGAAGTCAGCAATACCAATGCATGATCCTGAAATTCTGACTGGATGATATTCTCGTTAAAAATCTACAGTAATTCTGTGTGAAATAAAAGATGTAAAAAAGGCTATACTGTAACTCATTATCAGTGACACATACAGTACCTTTGAATCAATCTTTTTGAATGTTGGATCATCCTCATCCACCTCGAAATAGATCTCTGTTGTGGTGATCGACAACGTGCCTCTAGCAACGATCACAGGAGCAACGAGCTGGGCGGGTGTGCTCAAAACCACCGGACCTGAAAGAAACCATGCCACAGAATGAGAAACTTAACATTTTAAAGTCCTGAGTCCTGGATTAGTCAAGTGATTATGGTTAGATTTTCCAATAACTTGGGATTTCAAGGCCAGTTTTGGAAAATTAAATAATCTTTTTGAAAAATGTAACATTTAATACATTTAAAATCTACATCGTCTGGTCTTAAAAAGCATCTTTTACCATTACCAATCCCTAAAAATTATCATTTTAATGGTGCCATCAGCTGATTGCTGTTATCAGAATGTTATTTGACTAAGGCTCAGTGATTTATCACATAGCATTTATAGCTCATGTTTTTGAAAACTGACATCAGATTTCAAACCACAAAGAGATGAATAAGAAAGTATTTTGGAAAAAAACTAAAATCTGAGGAAAAAAACAAGCTAATTAGATTAATTAAATAATGATTAAATAGCCACAGTATGTTAAATACAGTCAGCGACTCATTAGGATAATGAGTAAGTGGCTACTGTGATAAGAGTTAATTAGTTAATTTAGTGATTCAGACATTCAATGTCAAAATCAGATTTAGCTCATAATCACACTCTTGTGCGGATTCAGCTGAGATTTGCATCAAAAGGCAGAAGGGCTGGATCTTGTTCTGGGCTAAAACACTAATTAGCATACTCGTTTACTGAAGGACCAAACTTGCCTCTTGAGATAAATACCCTCGGACGAAAAGCCACTGGGAATAAAGTACAGTTGCATACATTAGCACATGCATCAACAATACATTAAAGAATCACCACACTAATGGTTCCTGCAGAAGCAGCTGGCATTTAAAACAATGGGATTTGAGGAGGCTGCTTGTAAATAATAGCCTCCTGAGTGCAGCAGAAACGCTGAATACCTGCAAGGTTGTCGATCTCTTTCTCCTGCAGCAGACTGACGGCATCATCATCTCCTTCCAGCATCAGCTCTGTCTCAGGGTTACAATCATTACTCTCTAAACAGTCCATGCAAAAAATAAATAAAATAAAAAATTACAATAAAATAAAAAACGAATAAAATAAATAAATATAATGAAAAATAAATAACATATTTCATTTTTGTATTTTTTTTCCCTGACAAAAATAATGTTCTGTATTTGGATATGTATAATGTATGGACACACATCACTTTAATATTATGTCTCTGAGACATATTTGGGCACTGTAAATTAGACTGAGGTGTATGGATGTGTTGTGGCTGACCGTATTCCTCTAGAGATTTGAGAGCCACGTCCGAGTGGGTGGAGCCAAAGGCATTGCGTACAAATCTCCGCCTCCTGCGCAAATCATCCTCCCAGTAGTCCAAACGCCAGAAATCATGTAGCTGACTGAGGTGGGAAATAAATAGAGAGCGCAAAGAGGTGATGAATGGCCAGAAAACAAGAAACAGAATTCCAGCAGCAAAGGTTAACAATAAACTGTGAGTTTGTGAACCTCTGTGACATGGTTCCCCATGCTCCATGCTTATTGGTTAAAATGTTGAGGATCTTCTGTTTCAGCTGGTTTGCGGTCACGTGATCTCTGTGCTTGGCGGCACTGATGAGGTGATCACACATCTTTTCCTCTTCTCTCCTGTCTGCAGCGTACTGGGCACAGTTGGACTATGAAAAGAAAGAGCAAAGGAAAGGATCTTCACATCATACCTTGCGCATGATAAGTATTTAAATTGTGAACCCATGACACAGTGATCCACACTGACTGACTGACCTCAAACTCAGCATGTTTGTGCACATCTTCTGCTCTCTGCCTGTTGAGGATGAACTCAGCCTCATTGGCGACACGGACAATGTGGTCCTTCATGGCGTGACACAGAAGCCTGAGCATAGCGAAATATGTAAATGACATGAACAGTTTGCATTATAACATTGTCAACTGTTATTACTTACAAATTATTACTTTTATTTTTGCATAATGAGAATCTCCTTTCTATCTATTGCACCAGGTCTCAAAAAAACACACAGAAGGTGTGTACATCGTTTTTGGTATGAAATATGACTTTAAAAATAATAACATAAACAATGCCAGTCGAGAAGGAATTTTAATGAGTATACAACATACCTCCCCTCATTAATAAGTTCGATGAATGCAAGTCCTGCGTTCTTTTGTATGGAGTTCTGCCACTCCTGAAACCACACATAACAACCATTATGGACCTTACTGAATGTCATAACTGAAACATTTTAATGTGCCAAAGGCAAATGCATCAATGAAATGATGTACTTGCAAGGTGTAAAATGCAAAAATGTTATTGGTATATTTTTATAGGGCTGTCAAACGAATAATCACATCCAAAATAAAAGTTTGTTTAAATAATATATGTGTGTACTGTGCATATTTATTATGTATATATAAATACACATATATATATATATATATATATATATATATATAAATATAAATTTTTTCTTAAATATATACATGCATCTGTGTGTATTTATATATACATAATGAATATACACCGTACACACACATACAAACACAAACTTTTATTTTGGATGCGATTAATCAGTTGACGGCCCTATAATAAAAACAATATTTGTGTCTTTTTTCAGTGTGGATGATTTAGTCGCCTGATGTGGTTGCTGAAGAGATGCACTGATGATCTTTCCTGATTGTCTCTTTGCCATATAAGCGAGAGTGACATAAATACAATTTTCGGTCTATTTTCAGTGTGGATGATAAAGGCGCCTGATATGGTTGCTTAAGAGATGCACTGATGATCTTTCCTGATTGGCTCTTTGCCACATAAGCGAGAGTGATTATTGAGAAAGAGAGGCAGAATGCACTTAGCATCCACTGCAGATGCTTCTAGAAGGACACATCACAGGCAGCTCCCATTACCTTCTGCTTCCTGCCAATCAATATTTAGGGTACGGTTTCGTCCCCTGAGCCACTAATGGAGGGCCTGGAGCTTCAGTAATACTATATGTGCTGATGGAGCGATGACGGGAAATAGAGGAGGGAGGGGAAAGGAAGATGAGAGGGCATCAAACACTGAATGGGCCACTGCTACACCCCAAAGCTCCTAATCCTGACTCCAACTCTGAAGGCAGAGAAAGCCTGCTGAGATGCGGTAGTCTGAAATCTTGATCATTCAGAAGAGTTCAAAGAGGTTCAGTGGGGCTCCTAGTATAAGATACTGACATCCAGATGTAATTGTATGATAATTCTGTTTTGAAATGTTTGATTAGTGGTAAGAAAAGTACATTTCTCCTCATGTGGATTGAAAGCAAAGCATATTATGGAGCACAGTGATGGATTTTCAATGGAGTGTCTTAAAGGTAAGTGAAAATTCTTTATCTCTAAACACTAAATGCCTTCAGACACTGTTGATTAATCAATTCTATATAAAGACTGTGAAAAACAACAGGAATACTTTCAGAATGTGAATACGTGTAAGTTTAGTGGCATTATTTGCTGTAAAGTTGCTTTGCAATGATTTGTATTGTGAAAAGCGCTATACAAATAAACTTGAATTGAATTATTGGAAGCAAAAAACACATTACTGTAGCTCTCAAACAGTTAAGCACAGTGCTAGCAAAGGTCTTGGGTTTGATTCCCTCAAAATGCGTGAACTGATAAAATGTGAATGTATTTTGCTGTGGAAGTTCAGAAGTATGCAGTGATACTTTGATACCCACACTGGCTTCAGCGTAATGTAGGGTGGGTCTGAAATCAGATCCTGTTTAGGTCAAGCACAAAGCTTCAAAAGAGGCTCAAAAGATTGATGAAATGTTGCCACACTGCAGCGCTGTGACCTTTTCCAAGATTTTAAGCTGTTTAAGTGCAGTTTATTCACCGTTTATGAAGCCTGAAATATGAATGTAACTTGTGCGGCGATGGAAAATACTGAAGTCAAAGTGAATTATTCAAAATAAATTATTAGAGAATAAAGAGAGAAATCTCACCTGCGAGCACAAGAGCATCACAAGCTCCACAACCGATGTGCTGGACTTCATACAAACTAAGCCTGTGGCAGTGCATTGACAGAAAACAGATTTTAGCATGCGCATGTCTAAAAGATGAATATAAACCTCAGCGGGTTTCAAAAGACTGACAACACAGTGTAGACTTTTGGACCCCACTGTACATGTGTGTAACATAAATTTACCTAACGTAATTGGCTCAGAACTTTAAAGTGATACATCTATTTTCTAATGTACACACAGTTCTGCTGTATTTTAAACAACAAAAACAGACAAACATTAAACTGTGAGGAGGTCAAGACAAGGTGAGAGCACAGACATTAAAGCCTGACAGGACAACAGGGAGGGGAGGGAGAGGACTTAATAAGGGGGGTGAAGAAGAGAGGAAGGAAATATAAAGAGACAAAAACAGTGGTGGAACAAGAAGCAAAAGTGATTCACTCTAGATCTGGATCTTCAGATTTAGGTTTCCTTTGATTTCTGATGAAATGAAGAGAGGATGTCCTCTCAGGACTCAACAATAAAGATGGTCTGATAGGAGGGGCCCAGTGTGACCAAGTTTTGGGCCAGCTGATGGAACTGTCACTTTCCATACCAGCTATTACTGCAAATTTAAAAACTAATTGTTTGTATGTGTTTATTTGTTTCATACAGTTTTTTTTCTTCTTTCTGGTAAAGAAAATGTTTCATAAAATATATTTTGTCTGACACAAAAATGTATACACAAATTTAAATACAAAACTAAAAATTTATTTTTATGCAAATGAATTTAATTGAACTAGAAAGAATTACAAAATGTCTTGCATACCACTGTAATATCTGTACAGCAACTATATTTTTAAAAATATTATTATTATTTATTTATTTGTTTATTTTAATTAAAAATGAATTTGTGTTGTGAGGCCAATGAAATTATTAGCTTTGCATATATATATATATATGACTAGGCTTAAAGGGGGGAAAAATCCTTATTGTTGAGATTTTTTTTTTTTTACACCTTTAGGCATCTCTTAAATCACTTCTTCAAAGTTTAGCCTGCAATTCTGCCCACAGTCCCTTCATCTACATTTTTTTGAACATCCTTTCATCCTAAGCAGTTCTGTTTTTCTCATACCTTCTCTGGGTCCATGCACTCGCACAATTGTGTGTGTATGAGGCAGCCAGTGGACACACACACACAGCAGACAGTGAGGGACTCCACAGAGACACCAGGTAGAGAGGAAAAGGAGCACTATACAGCACCTGTACCTTCTATGAGCAACTCCTGCCCATGACTGCCCAACAGAGTCCGCGAAAGGAAGGGGGCGAAATCCACAAAGATCTCCCTCAGCAAGGGGGCCACTTTCTCTAAGGCGCGCTCCAATTTAGTCGTGATACTACGGGATGAAAATGAAAGACAGAGATAGAGAGAAATACTCCAGTTAGTTCCAAAATACAGAGACCAGTTTAAAAATCACACTTCCTTTTAATTCCAGCTGGTTAGTATGTGACAAAGTCTATGGCGTTACTGCTGGGTTAAAGCCAACCTTCAGGAATTCAACCACAGGGAGGCAGAAAGAGCAAATGCTTAACGCTTAATCACCTTGTTATACTGCACACATCACCCTTAAGTGCCACTGCGCTTAGCTACAAGCTGAGTTAACCTGCGCTAAGACTATAACTTCAGCGCCAGGGATGCAAATGACGACAAACTAGGGTGAGTGTGAAAGCTAAAGGTCTGAGGACATCCAGTGTGGTGCAAACAAGGAATGACTTGATATGATTAATGACAATGTCTCTACTGAAACGGCAAACTAGCAGGGTTGATTCTGTCAAGTTATTGGAAAACATTACTGCTGATTAGGAATGTATATGCTTTTTATGGACTATCAATGTGTTTGTTTTTTGCATTTTGCAGCATTTCAGTTACAAACACTAGCTCAAGTCACTGAGATTAAATCTTAACCAGGTGTGATGCAAAGACTGGAAATTACAGCCAATCAGAGCATATTTGATGTCTATGCTGCATTCACATTACATTTGCGTATTAAGTTGGCGGCTAGTAAAAACCGTTCACTTTGTTGAAATTGTCATGTCATGTAAAAACAATCAAAATGGCAGCAGCTTCATCGGTTAAGGGCAGTTAAGTAGCAACCTGCTTGATATTCCATTTTATTACAGCCATTCTTATGTGGCGTTCTTTCTTTGGTCAGTGTATATAAGTGTCTGTCTGTAAACACCAAATCCACGCATGGATTTATTTGTGTTAAACACTGCACCAAAGAAACAAATTACTTAGCCTGTCCCTGTGAAAAGCTCAAAAGTAAAATCTCTTATTTTCAATAAACATGATGTGAAGGCAGCATAAAAATACAGATACGATTTCACAGTGGGTAGGGCTACCCAGAATAATGCAATGGAAATAAAAACCACTAAAACTAAAACTATTTAAAAAAATTATTTTGGTAACTAAAATAAAGCAAAAATAACTAAAACTAAAATAAAAATAAGGTGAAATAGAAATATACATAAAAAAACAACAACTAATAAACATGAAAAAAGACAAACAAACTAAAATTAAAATACAAATTAAAATAAATACAAAAATGTAATTAAAAATATATATTAAAAAAATGCTAAAATAACGCTGACACACTTGTTTAAAAAAAATGAATTGAACAAATTAAAATCAAAGAGACAAAGAGATTATTCTTGAATATTTATGGCGTCATACCTGGTTTGGACAATGTAAATAATGAGAAAAAGAGACAGAATCAAATCTATTACAAATCTTACAAATCAAAGCAGCAGCGGTGGTGTAGCTGGCCAGCTTGAAAACTCACAACCACCAGGAAAAAGAGGCAGAAAAAGAGAGAAAACAAAAAGACAGAGAGAAAAAAGGGAAGGGAATGTTAAGCTGGTAGCACTGGGTAAGGGGGGCCAGTTCAAGCTTCCTTGCCTAAGAAACTGTCCTGCATCTCTGGGGGCTGTTTGGAATCCTGTCAGCGAACTAAAGGATTTGAGTTCAGGAGGCGTCAGCCTGGTTCGCAGTGGACACTGGTCCACTTCACAAAAGGCACTGCAATACAAATGGGCACAAACAGACAGTAATGACTGTACAGGCATTCACTGCAGCTCTTAGTCTAAAGTGTGACGTAATCCCCGTGTGTTGATCTGTGCCAAATCAAAGGATGATTGAGCCTCAAAGCTTCGGTGTCGTACATGCAAAGAGACAAAAATGAAGAAAATCAATTCTGTTGCATTCAAATTAGAACAGATGTACCCAACCATGTTTGGCAGGAAATACACTTCAGACTATCAGTACCTCAAAGTGCATCTTTAAAAGACCTCAGTATGTGTCTGTGAGGGAATCTGTGGCTGTGGTTACAAAGATACACAGATAGGGAAGTGTAGAGAGGAGACAGATGTAAAGTGAAGAAACTAATGGATTATGGGAATCATAGGAAGAAGTAAGACTGCCAAAAAAAAAAAACAGGATGAGCACAGGAAGTGAGAATGCATGATTTAAGGTTTTAAGCATGTGGATAACTGGATAAAGTGAGGAAGAGCATGAGTGTGTGTGTGTACCTCATGTTTTCCACTGTGTCTTCAGGCATGGGTGCAACGGTTTGCACCGCTGGGAGGTTTTTACTTGTGGCACCGTTGACGAAACTTGATGAAGAGGAGGATGAGGAAGAGGCGGAGTCAGTGGCACCTGTGAGACATAATGGACGAGATGGATTAAGCACAAGAAAAGCTGACTATCCTAAAGAAAAAAAAGGTTTGTTTATAGAGCTACAAAGGATGCTTAAATGTCTAAAATGGTCACTACCTTTAGAAAAGTGTCTAAACTTATGAAAGCCCATGACAAGACTTAATGGAAAAAAAATATTAAAGTGATATGCAGGAATCAAATGCATATATAGACCAGCAAAATGTATATGCTCATGGGACTGTGAGATGATGGAAATATTCAGGACGACTCGCCTGTTGTGTTGATCATGCTTTTAGGTGTTGCTGTGGCAGCAGCAAAGATATTGGGCGTACTTCCTGACGAGGGCACTCCACTGGTGGTGGGTGTTCCTACTGTGTTCACAGCCAGGCTCCCTGGAGGGGGCTTCTTAACAGGCACCACCACGCTCCTGAGAGTGTGTACACACACACGTATTGATTATACTCAAGAATTAATCACAAGACTTCACATCAAAATAATTTGATATAACCTAAATCAAAAACTTATATATACACTACCATTAAAAAGTTTGGTGTCGGTAAGATTTTTTAAAATCTCTTTTTTATCCAAAGTGAGTTGCAGTAGATAAGCATAAGCAATTCTTCAAAGTGCCAACAAAATTCAAAGTATACAATGCCTTTTAATAAATATATAAAAAAATAAATAAATAATATTTAATAATAATAATATTTAAATATATAATATTATTAATATTAACAATAAATTAAATGTAAATACACTACCGTTCAAAAGTATGGTGTCATTAAAACATTGTAAATGTTTTTGAAAGAAGTGTTTTATGCTCAACAAGGCTGCATTTATTTGATAATAAATACAGAGTAAAAACAGAATTATTGTGAAATATTATTACAATTTAAAATACAATTTTCAGTTAGAGTATATTTTAAAATATCATTTATTGCAGTGATTTCAAAGCTGAATTTTCAGTATAATCTCTCCATTCTTCAGTGTGACATGATCCTTCAGAAATCATTCTAATATACTGATTTGGTGCAAAATAAATCTCTTATTAATTTTATTAATTTATCTTATAAATTTTAAATATTGTGCTGCCTAATATTTTTTGGATACTATGAAAAATTTTGTTTTCAGGATTCTTTAATAAGTAAAAATGAGTAAAAAACTTCGGTAACATTTAAATAAAAAAATAGGAGTCCAACCATTTCAGCCCACCCCATGGTGAAAAAGGAGAGTATGATAAAATATTAACCTGCCCTGATGAATTATTAACACTCAAGAAGCCTGTCAATGATTAACAGCATAACCTTATGTATAATTTATTCATCAGGTTTTCTTAATTGGGAAGAACGAAGAGGATTAATGTTCAGAGGGGCTTTAGTTTGTATTGTAGAGTATCAGTGGATCCCATACACTAAGCCAGTCAGTCTCTTGAGCCCTGAGCACACTATTGCACAGAGCCACTGGCATTTCTGCAGATGCCTGTGCAGTAATGAGGAGCTAGACACAGAGAAATGGACTGCATAAAAAATGAGGGGAAGGCCTTGTGCTTGCGTTTGTGTAATTAAGGTGTTCTTTACTTCATTTTTCTCAAAAAGTCTTGACAGACCACATGTAAGTGTAACTGCATTGATTCATGAATGATTTATTGGTTCAATCGCTCTGTTCCAAAATCCATTTTAAGATAACAAAAGTGCACGCCTGAAGCAAAAGCTGTTCCAAAAGGCAGGCAGCATAAAATATTTAATTTTGCTGAACTTAACTTTATACAATTAATAAAAAAAAATATATGTATGATTAAACTATATTACATTATATTAGATTACATAGATTAAAAATTTTTTTTTTTTTAAATGAAATCGAAATTACTTCGACATCGATTGTTTTTTAGAGAAGCATATCATTGTTTATTAACCTCAGTGTATTGTGAGTCTGTACTAAAAGGTTTATATTATTAAATGTTAACCTAAGTGAATTATTTTTAAAATTAAATATTAAAATATAATATTATAAATAGTGCTGTCAAACGACTAATAGCGATTAATCACATCCAAAATAAAAGTTGTTGTTTACATAATATGTGTGTGTACTGTGTAAATGTATTATGTATATATAAATACACACACATGCATGTATATATTTAAGAAAAATATGTTATGTTTATACATTTAAAATATTTATATGTAATATCAATTATATTAATATAAATATATACATGGAAATATTTTCAAAATATATACTGTATGTGTGTGTATTTATATATGCATAATAAATATACACACTATACACATTATGTAAACAAAAACTTTTATTTTGGATTTATAATCGTTTGACAGCACTAATTATAAATTGCTATATTATATATTTAAGCTTGATGTGTTCAGCTTTCTGGGTCTTGGGTTTAATACTTTTAATTATTTTAACAATTATTTTAATAATATTGCCTGTTAATAAAGGTTGGTCTGAAACATACATGAAAGACAAGCATAATATAACCTGTGTTATTTGATGTGCTAGACACGCTAGAGCTGCCCACCTGTCAAACGAGTGGAACTGCATGGGCAGCACGGCAGCAGCTTCCCTCTTCAGGGCAGGGTCAGGGTGGTACGGCTGGGGCTCAGGCCCCGCCTCCGCCCCCTCCACCGGTGCTGCCACTAAACTCTTCAGGATCTCCTTCACATTGATTCCCTTGTTGGCCTGGCTGATGCTGGAGATCGACGCAGCTGGTTTCAGAACCTCCATGCCAGGTGGCGACTCCAACAGGGACTCACGGGACTTCCTCACCTCCGACGACAGTGTGCACAGCAACTCGCTCATGGCATCCGGGCCTCCAGAGCTCCCACCCAATCCGCTGGAGTCTGCGCCCAGCTCGGAGCCATTGAGAGCACTGGTGACCTGCTCCTCCCCGATGCCAGAGTCAGTGTGAGGCAGTGATCCCTCCAGGGGAAGATCGTCCAGAGGGGTGGCGGCTTGGCGGTCTCCACATACACCATCTGAGAAGGAGGATGGGTTTTCTGAAATTTGCACACATAAATTAGTGGTCAAAAGTTTTGAATAATTATGTTTTTTTTTAAGTTTTTGAAATACGTCTATTGTGTTCACCAAGCCTGCATTTATTTGACAAAAAATACAGTAAAACAAGTAATATTCTAAAATATAATTATAATTTAAAATATCTGTTTTCTGATTTGATATATTTGAAAATGTCATTTATTCATGCAATGGCAAAATTGATTTTTCAGCATCATTACTCCAGTCTTCAGTGTCACATGATTCTTGAGAAACTATTCTAATATGTGACCAGCCACAAAACCAACAAAAACAAAAAATAAGGGTCAATTTTTTTAAACTGAGATTTATATATCTTCTGAAAGCTGAATAAATAAGCTTCCCATTGATGCATGGTTTGTTAGGATAGTATCATATTTGGCCGAGATGCAACTATTTGAAAATCTGGAATCTGAGGGTGCAAAAAAAACTAAATATTGAGAAAATCGCCTTTAAAGTTGTCCAAAAGAAGTCCTTAGCAATGCATATTACTAATCAAAAATTACGTTTTGATATATTTACTGTAGGAGATTTACAAAATATCTTAATGGAACATGATCTTTACCTAATATCCTAATGATTTTTGGCATAAAAGAAAAATCGATAATTTTGATCCATACAATGTATTTTTGGCTATTGCTACAAATATACTCGTGCTACTTAAGACTACTTAAGGTTTTGTGCTCCAGGGTCACATATGCTGATTTGTTGCTCAGTTATTTTCAATTATTGCTGATGCTCGATTATTAATAATAGTTTTTTTTTATTATTATCAAAGATTTTGCTGCTTAATACTTTTTGTGGAAACCATGGTACATTTTTTTTCAGGATTCTTTGATGAATAGACAGTTCAAAAGAACAGGATTTTTAAAAATATAAATATTTTGTAAAATTATAAGTGTATTTACTGCCCTTGATGAATAAAAGTATTATTTTTTTTCTTTTAATCTCTTAAAGGGAAGTATATTGAGGTTTCCACAAAATATTAAGCAGCAAAAACTGTTTTTCACATTTATATTAATAAGAAATGTTTCTTGAGCATCAAATCAGCATAGAATGATTCCTGAAGGATCAAGTGACACTGAAATCTGGAGTAATGGCTGCTAAATAATTTAGCTTTGCCATCACAGGAATAAACTACATTTTAAAATATATCAAAACAAAAAAAAAAACTGTTATTTTAAATTGTAATAATTTTCCATAATATTACTATTTTAACTTTATTATTTAACAAATAGATGCGATCTTGGTGAACATAAGAGTCAGAGATAAGAGCAGAAATTCAGTCATTACAGAAGCATTTCAGAGCTGCTTCCTTAAGAGATACAGTTTATGCAGTTTACTGCAGCCTATGCCAAGCAGTTCTTTCCACCTGAGTATTAATTCAATATTGCACTCAGATAAAGCTTTGCAATAATGCCTTGAACACTTAAGTTGATGAAATCCTCCCTACGGGGAGTAACTGGATGACTATATAGCAGAGATAATCAGAGACAGTTAAGAAATGCGTGAGTGGAAGGTGTTTGACTGCGTTTAAACACTTAGCATTTTTGGGGTGTTTAAGTGGTAAATGACTAAAGATACACATCTATTGAGTATAATCAAAGTCACACGCTCATAATGACACTGCAGATGCCAAGTTCACCTGTGCTGGTGGGTGAATTAATCTCTTGTCGGATGCTTCTCCCTGATAGGCTGCTGGACCTGCCGATCTCCCGTTGTGGCTCCAGGATGTCCCGGTATTTGGACACCATAAGGACAGAGATGAAGTAGACCACAGCCAGAGCCAGGAACTGAGCCTGTTTACTGTCATCCTGTTGAACACAGAGTATGGTTAACAATCATTCTGGTCATGTAAACATACACGCTTTGCTCCGGCGCAGGTAAGTGAGTGTCTCACCACGTCTCTAAAAACGACAGCTCGGAGACGATTGATGTCCACGTCCTGCAGCAGTCTGTCTGGGTCTTTGATGGGAGAAAGGTTACGCGGGACATTCTGTATGACGGTCTGCGGCAGAGAGGATGAGAGAATCATACATTAAACCACAGGACACACACACACATGGACATACACTGGTTTAATTATGCAAATAATTGCATAATAGAAGTTTTTATAGTAAAAAATGTATTGCCTTTTGTTCTGTTTCTGTGTTTCTAATGTGCATTTGATTTGTTTTCAGAGACTCTTTAGTGTGTTTGTGTGCGTACGTGTCTGTTCTCTTGTGTTTGTGCAGGTGTGTGAGTGTATAACCTTGCTGGCGGATGCTGCAGTCTGTAGGTTCTCCTGGGTCTTGCTGATTGGCAGCGAGCTTTTGCTGCCTCTGTCTCTCTGCCTCTGCCTGCATTCCAGACAGTTCCTCACTGCTACACAACATACTGAGAAGAGACAAACAGTTTTACTAGAACGTCTGGCTTGATATTCACATCACACCACACAGACACACAGCTACACTACCGTTCAAAAGTGGTTTGGTAAGATTTTTAAAAAATGTTTATGAAAGAAGCTGATTTATGCTCATCAAAGCTGCATTTATTTGATCAAAAATACAATAAAAACAGTAATATTGAAAAAAAAAAAAAGCAATAAAAAAAAAAACTGTTCTATTTTAATATATTTTAAAATGTTTGCCAGTGATGGCATAGCTGAATTTTCAGAAATCATTCTAATATGAAACTAAAATTTTTGTGGAAACGGTGATAATATGTTTTCACGATTCTATGATGAACAGAAAGAATCAAAAATTATTTGAAATATTTTTTGTAACAATGTAAAAGTCTTCATGTTACTTTTGATTTATTTAATGCCTCCTTCCTGAATAAAAATATAAATTTATTTTTAAAAGTCCTTTTGAATGGTAGTGTACATACATATTTGCGCATTAACCCCTCAAACCCCTTTTAAAGGTGAAATGTGTATTTTATCAATGTCTAAATATTTCTTCTATCCCATATTAATAATGGGGAGAGAAGTGAGTCATTCGAGGAGTGTAAACACTGGGGGTCTTGTTTGTTTAATTGGCCTCATATATTAACTTCTTTTTAACCAGTGGTTTTGTTGCCATATAAGTTAAATACAGTACTTCACCAATGTACAAAAACTTTATGTTTAGTCAAAGAACATACAGTATACCAAAAATGACATATTTGAAATATTTAGATGGGTAAGATACATCACACATACCTAATCGTAGACACTGGCGCATTAGTCCCCCTGACGACATGTTCTTTTCAGCCTCAATCTCGCTGAAATTGAGAGAACTGGCAAACACGAGCACATCCACCATGGCCATCAGCCGGCTCAGAAACGTGACAGCCGTTTCTGACGACATGCCCTGGGTCGCCTCCACATTCTCAAGCTCCATCTGGGAGGACACACATACACATAACCAAAATCCAGAAGTTTAGACACATATCCTAATACATTTTGAAGCAAAAACACACACAGAGTAATGCTCACATCTATACAGGATTATGCTACTGACAATGTGCTGACAAACAAACAAATGTGTGATAGCAGCAAATCAATAATGCCAGGCCAACTTCACATGAAACATGCCTCTCTTGGAAAACCTCACACCACTAGAAGGAAGTGTGTTCAAACCAGTGTGACACCTATTTGTGTGTGAACAGTCAGTGCTGCAGTGCCGTGTGCGCTTAATCTTTGCGGTGGTCAGGAAACACGTCACCATTTTGCAACATCAATATCAAAAGTTCAACATAATTACATGGTGTATTACAAAGAACAAACCTTTTTGCAAAGCAAAAGAAAACACTAAGGAGTCTTTCAAGCAGTGGCAAATATGCTTTTAAAATCTTTTGAAAAATATGGGGTGATGGAGATATGAACCGCTATCTTAAAACCCACAGCTCTGAAAATGTGCTGAAAATAACATAATTGATGTTGAAAACTGGGAACATGATTGTTGCTAGGAGACATAATAGTGGCGAATAAGAGGTCACGCAGTTATGCATTGTGGGTATGTATAGGGGCGATAGCTCGGACCCACCTCGGCCCCTGTGCCAGAGCTTCCTGGCAGGCTATTAACTTCATTGCTTTTTGTCCCTTTCTGTAAGCAAGAACCTCCTCGTGTCTTTATGACCAACACAGAGGGGAACAAATGAAGTTGACATTTAATAAAGACCCTTATATATGGACCAATAGAGCCGGGGGGCTCATCACAGCACCATGGTGTGTGCTAATTTATTTAATGCAATTTAATATCAGTATCTGTCTGTTTGAAGGTTTTCCATGAATAACAGATGATTATGATGAAGGTCTGATAAAATACTTCATCAGATACGATCACTTAAACGGATCATATAACAGAATAATACTGGTAAGTTTGCACTTTAATACATCCATAATCTCATATTTAAAGGTGCACTCAGTTTGTTTTACTAATTAAAAGAGTTCTATACGTGAAGAAAAAATGTACTTCTGAAAATATATTTAAAATCATTTTCACTTACTTTTTACGTGGCTGCCTTGTGGGGGCTGCCATTTTAAAAATCATACGATCAGCCAGATACTACTCACTACTTACTGGACACTTTTACATAGATAATAAATTAATCATGACTGACCGCAGATATCACATTTTTATATGAACCTGAAAACTTTTGCATGATGCATTTATAATTCCTCTATACCAAATCCAAGACGGATGGAATATTGGTCAGCTTAACATGAACATGAGTTACTGAGTGCAACTTTGAGTGCAATTCATATATCATAAATCTTTGGGTGAATAAATTGAATGAATGTACACATAGTCTGAGGCTGAAAAAGACAGAAAAGATGGAAATGATCTGAAATGGACCATACATTTTGATCTGGGGAATTAGTGATATTAAAATGTAACATTAAAAAATAAACAAGAAGGTGAATGTTAGAGAAGAATAAATAAATGGGAACTTACAGGGTTTGCACTAACCTTAGAACTCTGTACATGCAAAAGAAACAAAAAAAGAGAGAAACAGGGAAGGGGAAGAAGAAATTAGAGGCAATACAGACAACAAAAGGATACAAAGGCACAAAAAAGCTGGTTAATAAGCAATAGAGTCAGTCAGAGAAAATTTCAGAAAAAGCTGTAAGAATGTTTGCCAGAAATAAAAAGGTTAGAATGCAGGTAAAATGTCAAAGAACACAGGAGAAGAAAGCGGCAAAATTTGAGATTGCGTTCATATTTAAGGTCTCAGGGTAAAAGCACCGACAGAGGATGAAATGTGACATCAGCAGCACTCATGGATGTTTCTATGTGTAGGCAAAAATACTGATCTGGACTTATTCTTGAAATCTGTATAAGATCAGACATGTATTGTCGCCATTCAACGCCAATATAACATTTAGTGATATTCAGGGAATAGAAACAGGAACAACTTTTTTCTTCTATACGATTCCCTATTCTATAAATAATCCCATTACAGCCCTTCCAAACAAAAAAAAAGAAAAACCAGCCACTAGAAAGTGTTTTTTATAATTCAAGGATGTTGTACTGATGTGAATATCCACTAGGGGCCGCTCAAGTGCCACTTACAGATGGGGAGGTGGCAGCAGAGAGCAGGGGAAGGATCCCGCCACATGCTATAATGATGTTATCAACCATCTGAGAAATGAGGTGGATGGTGTTGTGGACAAATATAATGTTCTCGTTACTGTTTACAAAGTCCATGACCGATTTCGTAGAGTGGCTGAGAGAAAGAGAGAACAAAAGAAGACAGCAGTGAAGCAAGACCATGTAAAAGCATATATATAACATGTTCATCTTTTCAGAGTTTTACTGTCAAGTAACACAAAAGAGGTTACAGAGAACTAGAGTATAACATCCTTGTTGGTCCTAGAACAACCAATCTAATTTTACAGAGAGGGCAAGGAGTAGGGTTAGGGTTGGGGATCAGGGGGTCAGAAAAGTTGTTCCAGGACAACACAAGAAGTTCATCTGGGAAGATGTCTTGGCTGGTAATTTCTAAAGGCCAAAAACTCTCATACCTCCTCCACATGTGTACGTCACTTTCCAGAGCGAACAACAGGTCAGTGAGAAGGCGCTGATGCATGGGTGACCATTTGAATTCTGGGATACGGAACATGGTAGTGCGAGGGCCAGGGCTAAACTGCCGCCGCTGTTCTTCTGTCATCGGCATGCCCCGGAAGCCCAGATCCACACGGAGGTCCCTCTCCATCTGACCCGACATACGACCATGAAGAGCCTGCAGGAAAGCAAGAAGATTTGATTGCTTGTTAGTTAATTACAGCATTCATTTCTTTATTTAATTTTCCTGGTTCTAAACCAGACTGAGATTGAGTGGCAACTCATATAACAGTCTATCCTTGGTGGAACACAAAAGGAGATTCTTCAAATAAAGTTATTTCGTTACTACTTTGTTACCGTCTCGAAATATTGTCCTCAGCCAGAGATTTCAAATCTCATTTGTGTCAATATTCCAGTGATGTCCAATCCTGCTCCTAGAGGACCACCTTTAGCTCCAGCCCCAGTTAAACACCTGAACCAGCTAATCAAGGTCTTCAGACTCACTGTTGGAGCTAAACTGGCGGTCCTTAAAAAGAGCAGGATTGGACATCCCTGATATTTTCAAATATACCACAGTAAGACATGTTAAGAAGGGTTTGAAAACAATGACGCCAAAGGACATATTCTCAGATGCCTCTTAACCAAATGCAATGCACCAATTTTGAAATGTAGAAAAGTGATTGCAATTGCACTGAATAGTTTTTTAAATTTCGGTCGGTTTCATTGCATTGTAAGGTTTCAGAAAACTGATGAGAAAAGTCATATGGACAACTTTACTCATTTTTGGAGCTTAACAGCATCTGCCCCCATTCTCTTTCATCTATGGAAAAGGGCAGCATAAAGATTCTTCCTAACATCTTTTTGCGTTCCACAGAAGAAAGTATGCTGGAGCAGTTTAAATGACAGGCATAACCATAGCAAAAGTTATGCGTTTTAAAACGAAAACGCACTAGTGTAAACGTAATACAAGGTAATACAAGGTTTTGCACAACATGAGGGTGAGTAAACATTTCCGAGAGTTACCATCAGTGGGCAAACGCAACAAATAATAAATGAGTGATTCGCACCTGCGTGGTGGCTGTAGTCTGAATCTTCTTCATTTCTTTGTCTTTTCCATCGTCGGATCTCTCTGTGTCTGAAGTGGTGCTGGCTGCATCACCGCCGCTCTTTCCTGCCCTGGCCTCCCCAACCTCTTGCTCCAAACACTCTGCTGTCCTGGCTGCAGCCTGCGCCTCGGCTTCTGCCAGTGTGCTGATGTCCGCCAAGGAGCTCTGCAACTTAAACCCATCATCTTCTGTTAGGCCACTTGGGGTTTGAATCAGATCTGAACCACAAGAAGTCATGTGGGCTAGCAGGCTGAGGTCGTCACTGGCGCTTGAAGTGTGTGGAGTTGTTGGACAAGGAGGCTGTTCAGGGCTGGGCAGCACCAGGGGCTCCGTCGACGCCAATGAGGGAAGCAGCTTCTCATCCACCTTGGGGAACAGGAAGCCATTGTTGCTGGGAACGCTGTCCTTTTCATCTGCGAGTGTGATTAGAGGACCCATGTTCCCATCGTCTTCAGTTAAACCCACCACAACGCTTTCCTCCTCTTTGGGGACAAGGCTCCCATTGAGCTTGTGAACTGCTGCACAGTAGGCGCTGTCCAACAGCGAGTCTACTTCCACCAAGGGACCATTCTCCATGCCACCTCCTCCTCCAAGAACCTCCGGGGACAGATCCAGATCGTCTAATTTAACCTCTGTAGCCTCCACCTTCTCAGCTTTGATGTCTACCAGCAAGTCATGAACTTCCACACGAACCCCCGCCACCGACCGTTCGGCTTCGCCCTCCGGACCTTTGGTCTCGGCCAGCAGGTTCCGAGAGTCTGCATTTTCTCCATAGTCTGCCTCACTCTCTGGTGTCTGCGTCTGAGATGTGTCATCGATCTCGCGGATCTCCAGGTTTCCGTTGACAGTGGTGGGTTGGGCGGAAAGGCCGGAAATTGTGCTGACGGAACCTTTCTTTCCTTTCTTGATGTTCTCTTCCTCTTGTCGTTGGTACTCCTCGTACATCTTTGCCAAGTACTCTTTGTGCGCCTCGTAGGTCACCTAAAGAGGTGAATAGCAGTGTTGAGAGTCTACCTTGGTGTTGGTCTACTTTCCAATTCCAGATTTTTATTTTATCATCTCCACCATTAGATGGATTCAATTGGATCATTGCAACACTTATCCAATTAGGGAAAAAAAAAAGACTTAACAGTGTTTAACTAAATCAAATACTATTGCTGTTAGCATGACCAAAAGACAAGGCCAAAGAGTGGAGACGGTAAAAATAACAACTGTTTCATTCATCACTGACATAAAAAATGCATTAAAACCATTAAATGTGATATTACGAAACTAAATATATCTAGAAAAGCGCTAAGAGCTGCAGATCGGCTTGCTCTAACCTTGGAGTGGGCGATGGAGAGTGTGTCCACCCACACGCGCCAGCCTCCCCACTCATACTTGATGGCATGGTAAAGCAGGATACGGAATATGTTGTAGACCATTTCAGTGATCTTCTGCTCCTCTGGGTTCTTTGGGTTAATGTAGCCCAGAGAGAACATCCAGTCCTGCCACACTGAACACTGCAGCAGACACCTACACACATTACAATGACACCATGATGCCAATTTAGACAGAATGGACTAATTATTCACTCAAGCAGAAGGTTTACTGATGTAAAAGCTCTGGTGCTAAATTTTACACCACCTGTTTTTAACAGTGACTCTACGCTAGTTTTCAAAAGATACTGAAATGTGCATACTCATTTCCTCTATTTATGCATCCTTTGAGTCATCCAATGCTCATTTGAAGTTAACCTTCCAAAACCCCAGAACTTTAATAACACTGATACATGTAATCTTTTGAACACTTAAAAATAAATATCCATGTCCATTTTTCTTACTCAGCATTAATGTTGTGATTTTATTTTGTATTTCTATTTTTCAATAGTGTGTGAAATGCTCTGAAAAATCTTTCAAACAGTAGTAAGCTATATTATTGTCGCATGACCTAATGTTTAATTCGTTCCAGTAATGGAAACCTAGAAAACTTTACGCACCATAATCAGAACTAAATCAAATCTAAACTTAGAGAATCACTCTGTAAACAAAGGCTGAACGTATCAGAACCACATAAAAACAAACAGCCTACGCAAAGTACTAAAGAGGGAGTGCTTTATGATTGCTGGAAATTGCTGGAAATACTCCTTCACTCTTGTCATCTTAGATTCCAGATACGTTTGCTCACTTCAGAATGCTGGGCTTGTTATGGAATACAGAAACAAGCAGTCCCACTTCACCACTGCTAAAATATGCATTGTGATTTTGGTATGCAGTTGTAACCATGGCAGCAGCTACGGAGTGGGCCTGGGTGCATGGTGCGCCTGTTTAGGATAGAAGTGTGCAGATACACACACACTTGATGTACCTAAATCTTACTAATGAGCAAATAAGGGTAACCTGAGTCCAGGTGACAGTCAGGCTTAGCCTCCGCAGGAGCCCACGAAACGGAACGATGCAGAGAGAATGCCACATCAAATCTTCATTCCTCAATGCATTAATTATGATGCAAATTGATTTAATAGGAGGGAGCGTCTTTCCCACTGAGAGGGAGATGCTAAATGCTTCTGATGTTTGCATACAGCTTGCGTGTATAAAATTATTGTAGTGTCTGCATATGTCTGTGGGCATGTTTGTATGTAAGAGGGGATTTGTCAAATTGTAAAACTATTTTCTGTTTATCTATAAATATTAGGGTTTGTTTGTATGTGTGTCAGGTGTTTTCTCAGAGAAGGTTAGAGAGGAAATGCCTTTTTACTCAACAGTAAAAAGCTATGAATTTGCCTATTGATATTCTAAGCTAAATTGTTTTGTATTGGCCATAACATGAAAAAAGTGTGTACGTATATTAAATGGAAAAAGAATTTACTTTAGAAAAACCCAAACACAGATTTAGTATTCACCACTAGTGTGTGTACAAACAGCTTACCGTCTGTTCTCTCTGCTGTTGCTGAAGAGTTTGATCATGTCGGACAGGAAGAGGCGTCGTACTTCCATCAGCTCAGCGCTGGGGGAGGAACTTTTAAGCAGCGTAGCCACAACCTTCAGAATCACTGAGAAAATCAAAAAGAAAAAGGAGAGAGTGAAATGGAAAAAGGAAGGAGAGCTTAGACATTGATCCGGTGTGTGTTTAAACTGATCTGATAAAATATCTAGAAATGAAATGAACAACAGACACTTACTTGGGTTTTGGATCTTGACTGTAGAATCGGGTTCTGGGTGAGGCTTGTGCACCACCTGAGTGCAAACCTGTTCTGTTAAGATCTACATTAGACAAAATTCAGTTTGATTAGACCAGAAATCATTTTTTTTGTACATGTTATTCAAACAAACATAATCATCCATCTTATAAATAAATTAAAGATAAGGTTTCAGGGAGAACACTTTCTATGAAGTGTTATAAAAACACATATGAATATAAATAATAAATATTTTTGCTAACACATTATTTAATATATTCTATTTTAACACAACATATTCCTGAATTGCCTGGAACTTGGATATGATAATTTTTAATAAACATTGGTGTTTATCATAAAGCTGTTTCAGACACGTTTCATGCATTTTACTCTTGGTAAAATCACTACATGCATAGCCTCTTGTGGCTCATTGTTTTAATAACTGTGGCAATAAAAATGTATGAATCGATATAAATTATTACAATGGTTATAATAAGGCATCATAATTTATTCAAATGCATTGAAGTGTATTTTTCCCTCGTTCTAAACTCCTTTTACACAAAGACATGAATATTTCTTGTTATTGGACAATTCTGCTTCTAGTAAAAATGAATCATGGTAGTTATAATCATATAACCATATAGAGAATTTCTACAGTGGCACTGGTAATTGAAATTGTTTGCTTTGTTTTGCGAGATTCTCCATTTGTGACAGCTGCCATATCCCTGAGAGCAAAACATACTGTGTGGACCTTTAGAAATACCTTTATAATGAATTACTGTATTTATAGAAAGTGTTTAACCTAGAAACGTTACGTGCAGAGAAGTGGATACCTCATAGAGTGTGTTGTAGGTGGTGATGGTCACAGTGCTGGTGTGCATCATTAGTCGCTCTCCGAGCAACGTGAAGAGGCTGTGTGTGTGCATGATCTCCACCTTCCTCCTGTACACAGACACACACACACACACACACACAGAGCACAGGGGGAAGTGAGATAAGAGGCGCACGTGTCATGTTGTTTGCGGTGACATTGACAATGCAAAGGCAGGTATAAACTCACTCACTGGTTAAATTTTACCCCACAGCCTTCCTCACCATTAAGATCAATGAGGAGATGCATGCTACTGGCACACTGATGCGATTAGAAGTGACACCACACTCCTCAAGGGCACACACACACACACACACACACACACACACACAGCTGTCAGTGGCCCTCTTACAGCCTTTCGGAGACATCAGTGTTCCCGAGCACATCACTCAGGGGGAGGGGACGTCACGTGACAGCACAAAGACTGCCGGTCAAATGCATTTAATTCACCTCAAAGACAAGGCTGAAGATGCGTATGACAAATTAATATGTAAATTAATGACACAAACAGTTCTGCAAGTGGGTGTGTCTAACATAAATCTAAATTTCCTAAATGTCTGTAATAACATAAATATGAAATCTGGGGTACACTTTATTTAAAGGTGTCCTTGTTACAGTGTAATTATACATTTGAGTACGGAGTAATATTAATTAACTACATGTACTTACTATATGGTTAGGGTTAAGATTAGGGTTTGTCTTAGGGTTACTTGCATGTTATGCATAATTTATTGTTATTATAATAGTAAGTACTACATGTAAGGTGTAACAAGTACACATTAACAAAGTGTTACCCAAAATTGATGCCTTCTTCTTTATTTCATTCTTTCTTTTTTATTTAACCCTTAATGCACTTACATTTTTGGCCTTTTGCCACTTTTACTCTGAGAACAGTTGACAAAACAGGAAAAAATGGGAGGAAAACAAGTTTGGAAAATGACGCTAACCAGATTTGAAGAATTATTTTTTTTTAGATCTGATTTTATTTTTAAGCAGGAAAGTGATGGATGTCTGAATAATGAGGGATAACATCAATACATTGTCGTTACAAAAAAATATGCAAGTTGTAAATAAAACAAAAACAAAGTTGCAAATAAAACAAAGATTATTTCAGTCTTATATATTTATATTTCAGTCTTTCTACTTCAAAATTTCACATTTAATTTGATTCGTTACTTGGCATTTCTATGTAATTTATTGTGATATTTACTACAAATTTCTGAGTGAACATTGGTTTTATATCAAATTGTTTTCTTTGTAACATCATGTCTAAAGCTCTGCCTTGCCGGACACACAAACTGTCAGAACAATTATTCCAGCAGCAGCCCATGCGTTTAACACTTCCTGTCAGCTACAGAACACTCATTCTCTAAATGTGCTCTCTTCCCTTGCTGAAAGGGCAGGTACACGTAGCCGGGTCATTTCTGTCCATGCTGTACCTTTTGAACTCCTAAAATGCGGCTGTGTTGTAATAAAAGGGACTATTTTTATAAAAAGGTTTTAATGTACCAGACTTTCAGAAATATGCACTGCATAAACTCAAGAAACTGAAATGAAGAAACTTAACGTGACAATTACCCGCACAGTAGGAATGATCCAGCCGAGGTTTCTTTGTATGCCAACATACCAAATTCAACTTTGTATGCTCATATACAGGTCTTCACACAAATGTTTTGATTATTAACACTCACTTGTGTCCCAGATGTTTCAGGAAGTAGCCGAGAACTTTAAGAGCTTGGACTCGTATACTCTCGCTTTTGGAAGCCAGGAGCTTGTAGATGACTCTGAAAATAAATTGTGGGAAATGTGGTTACATTATTGAGTAACTGCAGATTTGCATTCTGTGTTTGCACTTGCTGTGCAGTTTGAGAAATATAGATGGTTTTCTACTCACCCTCATATCATTATAAACCTTGTGCATTTTTTTCACAAAAATATATTTTGTGAAGAAAATAGTTTCCGTTCTCATTGACTTCCATTGTATTTTTTGTCCATACAATGTAAGTCTATGGGAATCAAAATTGTTTGGTTACCAACATTCTTCAAAATATCTTCTACTGAAGAAAAAAGTCATTTGGAACAACATAAGGTTGACAGAATTTTCATTTTTGGATTGACTTTTCCTTCAGCTATAGACAAATTATGAGAACAATCTTGATTACATATTTGAATCGATTGACAGCCCTAGTAATAAAATACCACAAAGATACCCAGAGGGTGTGAATTCATGGGGAGGGCAGTTCAAACAAGCACTTAAGTCGCTTGCGATGGGTTGTGAGGCGAGAGGGAATGTGATTGATGCAGCTGTGACAGCCCAAATCTATTTCAGTTACGTAACCGGACTACGCAAGAGCCGTTTGTCCCCGAGGCCTCACCGTATTCCATTCCTCTGGTCGAAGGCAGGGATCATGGAGGCGGGGTGCTCAGACATGAGCGCGACCAAGAGCTGGAGCACATCATGGATGTTTTCATCCTACAGGAAAGAAAAATGAACAAATAGACATTGAACCACACAACAGTAGACTGTAATGATACACCAGACACCCTTAAAATGTCTGGGTGTTATATAATGCTGCACTTAACTAGCAGTTTTCAGGATTCATTTGCTGTTTTCAATCAAATGGCTGCAGAGATGGTGCATTACTGCAATTTCATGAGACTCAATCAAAGCATTAATGCAGCTTTCAGGATAATACTAGCGCCTTCCTGATGGACTCAAATACTTCTGCACTTCTGACACCGGAGGTGAATATTTCAGCCTTCCAGACAGATTTAAGCAGCTTGTTTTCCATTAAGAACGTGGAACAAATTTTGTTTAATACAGGCTAAAGAAAATTAGACCACAAGACCTTTGCTCTGTTTATTGATCAGTTTTACCTCATGCATGGTTAGCAGGTAGTTTAATATGCTCTGCAACTCATCTTCCTTCACTCCTCGGTCCTAAAAGGAAAAAGAGAGCACACAATATAAACAGGCTTACATTGTAATTTTTCTAGTTCTAATTTTTACACAGATTTATAATTACTTTTGATAAAAACTGTGCTTTAAATGTTTAAAACAGTTTATTTTAGTGTTTTAGTCCATTTAACTCAGACTAAAATGGCATAAAACACAAATGTAACAGACAAAAACAAAAATGTCAAACTGCAACAGAATAAATTTTAACCAAAATTTAAAAACATAAAAATACGCATACCCCCCGCCCCCCCCCAAAAATAGGAGTTATGTTGTGAATTATTCATAATTTAAAGACTTCTATTAATAAATAAATTATTAATAATAATAAATAATGACAATAATAATATTCCAATTTTTCTAATGCTCGATGCTTGAGTTAAAGGTTTTAAAGGCACCCGATTAAAGGTCTTGCAATGTATTTCTTGCATGCTATGGATATTGGTTGTAAAATGTTTTGACTTCCGAGGAAATACTTTGGTACTTATAAAACTGATGCTTAATTGATACTTCAGTTGGGTATTTCAAGGTTCTGAATGAAGAGGAAAACATTGTAGCTGCTTTAACATTGTGTAAGCGTGAATGAGACTCATTGTTTTGTTTTTGTGAAGAGAAGGGCATTTGTGATGGATTGGGGCCACTATTACAAGCCACAAGCCGCTCACAATGCTAACAACTGCACGAAAAGTGAGGAAATGTGGAAAGGGGGCAGAATATAATAGGAATGAAACAAAAAGGCAGCGGCTAAATGAAAAAACGTGCTGCTTGGCAATCCACATCATGCTTCTCAAAACAGGACAACAGCCTATGCACATAACACACATTGCTTTGTGTCGAGCGATGATCCATAATGCAATTCTCTCTATGTTGGCCCCATCAAGCTGTCTGTATTGTTTTTAAACAAAAGCAAATAAACAAATTTCAACACGACTGCCTTTCAAACTGGATCGAATTTCAGGGAAAAATTAGGATAAATTGTATTATTTTAACAAAGCAGACGTGTCTTCTCGCTGTCACTGCTTGGGGACTAATGCATTTTATTCAGGCTGCCCGAATAATTGCAATGACATGTCAAATAAAATCAGTTTTGAAGAACAAAGTGCTGATGCACATAACAAGGCAGAGCAGAAATGACATGGAATATGTTATCATATGTCTCAAAGATGTTTCAATATAAAGTCTAATTTTGATTTATTTATTTATTTCTGATATAGTCTTTGATCAATGGATCAATCACATTCGAAATCAAATTCAAAATGCTAAATTAAAGAAAAAATGTACAGAACAATAAGAATAAATTATACAGTTTACACCGCATATTATGCTTACTCTCTCTCAACATACTATAATTACACAACATTATATATATATATATATATATTATATATATTTTGATATCTTTTTACTAGTGGGTGCAGGACACTATAGTTCATTTATAAATTGTGATAATGTGAGAAATGTTGAAGGTGTCTGAATAAATTTAGGTTGGACTGTATATATACACACAGATATATTTAACATCTATAATGATTTTGTACTGTCTCACCTTGAGAATGAGCTGTTTGAGGAAAAGAAGCATGAACGCCCGCAGGGATATAATCTCCTTCTGAGAGGGCCGTGGACCATCTGTAAGAAAACACTGTGATTTACAACAATTACATGGGTTGCACACATCTAAACACTTAATAAACACCTGCGTATGGCAATTAAATATATGAGAGATCTTTAATATATGCTATTAATCATCATCAATGAACCGAAAAATTAACATAATGCCTTATGCCATTTTGATTCCTAATTCTACGTTTAAGCAAATGTTGGAAAAATATATTTAGGAGGCTATATCACTCTCTTTGTATATTTTACAAAACTAACAGCTAAAAATCACAGTGATTTTCATGTAACCCAGCTATTAATGAACAAACTAAAACTTCTAAAAAAAAAAAATGTTTAGGGACGAGGAAAAAGCCGCAGCTCAAAGCTGCAGGTTTCTTGCAATGGTTACGAATAGAATTCAGTACAGCGAGAAAAACAAAAACAACACTTAAGACGCAGCTTAGGGAATACAAACCCCTAAACGACACACCAACCCCATTTCCAAACCACACAACCACCCTATTTCTCTCTCTCCTGCCATCTCTTTTTTACAATACCAAACTATCTTTCTCAAATAGACACACACGCATACCCCTCATCTTTTATTGAACGCGCAGCACCCAGACGTTACAAAGCTGCCATGAAAAATTCACATCACTTTCTGTATGGTAAGCCAAAATGTGTAACAGAAAGCTCAGTGGACGTGTGTGATGTAATGAAGCAGGTCAGTGTCCTCCCCATCTCCACCCATGTTCATCCACACATCAGGTGTGTGACGCCATTGCCCTGCAGTTCAGCAGTCTGTGTGTAGTTACACACACAAGCACTCTGCCGCGTACTGCATTTGTACGCTATGACCGTGGTCGAGGTCTATTTGTAGCCATGTACATCCCTTGACCTTTCCCAGCTGCAATGATTTGGTGCAGTGAGAGAACTGATGACCGGGTGTAGACTGTGAGATCTGGAGGAAGAGATTTGTTTGTGATAGTGTTCAGCATCCCAAGGATCAAAACAAGGCCAGTTGAGATGATCAATCAATGCCTGTTACCATCACAGATCCGTTGCATATGCAAGAATACAACAAAATATTTGCCATTGACTCATGTAAGACAAAATGTGCTTACAGGTATGCAAATGAATGCTTCGTGAAATGCAATTAGAATTAGATTAACGCTGTTTTTGTCGGCCAAAAGTTTAATTTATATTTACATATATTTAAATCATTTTGACTTTTAAAATCCAATTAAGAGTAAACTTAAATTAACACTACGTTACATGGAAAGAAACACACTCGCTCTACAATGTGACAGACCCGTGCAGCATCATGGGAAGGGCAACAGGGTTGCCATGGTGACACGGTCTCTGCATCTAACAGAGATAAGCAGGCAGAAGTCACAGTGTTATCTGAAGTACACAGGGACGGGAAGAACGAAATGCAACTACAGGCTTGTCTAAATGGGCCAGTACATCCACTATAGAATATAATGGACAACATCCAAAAACTGTAGCATATGCACAGCTTTTACCAACCCAGCAGATCAAAGAAAATGTGCACGTTCGTTTCCCGTTTTTAAATTACCTTTGCTCTCATCTTCTGTTCACTTAAAGTTCATCTTTAAACTTTCTAAATGTAATCTTTGGTAATTCTCAAAATGAATATCCATTTCTCATACTGTACTTTCTAATGATGAATAAATTCACTTATAGCATTTAAATTCTTTTATTTTATTTCTAGTGTTTTGCTTTTTATTTAATTTACAATACAAAATTGGCCAGAATGTTAATATCAGTGCATCCTTATATATAACAAAGTTCCTTTCGTTTGTTTTTATTTATTTAATTGAAAATAGTTCAACTAATAAGGATGCACACAAATGAGAGGAATTGTTACAATTACAAATTTCAATGTTACAAAATTCTATTTCAAATCAATTATGTTCCTTTCAATTCTCTATTCAACAAGCCTTTCAACATTGATGATAATTAGAATAATTAGAAATGCACCAAATCAGCAGATTAGAATGATTTCAGAAGGGTAATGTGACACTGAAGACTGTAGTTATTCAAGCTTTGCCATGACAGAAATAAACTACATTTTAAAATATATTCAAATAGAAATTGTAATATTTCACAATTTTACTGGTTTACTGTATTTCTGATCAAATAAATGCAGCCTTCCATGTCAAATTTTGAACGGTAGTGTACCTTTGCTGTCATCATGTGATGGCTAAATTTAATTGCAGCATTTAGCTGATTTTAGTCTTAGTGTTTTGTTTTTCATTTATACTGTATATATAAAACAGTATTTATTCAGTATCAGTGAGAACATTTGTATTTGTACTGGCCAGAATTTTAATGGATCAATGCATTTCATATATAATACCATTTTATTTGCTTCTTTACCATAATCAAATATCGTATCAGCATTATGCCGCATTTGCTATGCTGCTTTTTTAAATATATATTTTTTAATACATTCTTTATTTAAATTTCACATGTAAACTGGGGCTAATGAGCAATGTTTATTAGCATGTCAATATCATTCCTGCTCACAGCCGACTCACATCATGAGGCCGTTATTGATGTTGGATGCTACAAATCATTCACTTCAGACTTTAAAGTATCACTATACCATCTATCTAACGCAGAGACTCACCTCTGGGAATGACAAGCCAGGATGGAGAAAAAGAGAGATGGCAAACAGATGGAAGAACTGACAGATTTTGCATGTGACATTTGGGAAAACAGCGAGAAGGAAGGAGAAACACATGAAAGAAGAACTACAGCAGGCAAGAGAATGAGAAAAGAAATAAGAGAATAATAAAATGGGGAAGGGCGAGGAATCTGGAAAACACTGAAGACTGAGACCAAGTCATCTTGAGAGGGAACCAGATTTAGAATGAAGATGATCACCAAGAGAGAACAGAAGTCTGAGGCACAAAAGTGCACAGGATACAAAAATAGACCGAGACAGAAGGGGGAAAAGAGTGGGCAGTGTTTCAAGATTCATTCATGCTTAATATTGCTGGCTGTCTTTTATGTAGACACACAGTCCACCTTAAAAAGACATGGTTAGCGTGTGTGAAGACTTCTGAACCGCTCAGCTGTTCCCAGAACATGTTTATTTCGTCTGTGGTATTTCGAGATCTCACTATCTAGGGATTTCGTTTAGGCAAATTTCACTACCTGATCCTGCAAAACAATGTGCAACTATTCAGCACAGTATAACTTGAAGGGTAAAAGATTCCTGTGAGGTGGTAAATTCTACAAACAGACATTTCTGAAGACTCACCCAGGCCTTTAGGGGTGATACCGCTACTTTCCAGGGGGTTGCTGGCCCAGTAGTAGTACTTGAGGGTGTGCATGAGCTGCAGGACGGTGCCCACTCGACGGATGGTGCTGTAGATGGTGGCGGTGCCAATGAATTCTGCCGACAGGTATGTGTAGAGGGAAAGCTGAACCTGAGAAATAGAAAACACACACAGTGGATTACATGATTAAAAATGGGCTGAAATGGTAGTAACAAAAACAATAGTTCTGGTCCTAGATTCTGATTGGCCAATATAGACTCAATGCCATGCTTAAATACATAGTACAGTTAGTTCACATGTCAAGGAATATATCTTTTTGCAAGAAGGATAATTTGTAATTAATTGCTTAATAAAATAATTTGCGTAATAAAAAATTTTAATGAATATTTTGTCTTTAATACAACAATATAATTTATAAAACTATTAATATGAATTTTGAAATAAAAATATTCATACATTAACATTTATATATTTAAAAGCAACAAGACACTCAAAGCAGCACTAAATTGTAAATAGCACTTCAAAATATAATCAACACTAATGCTACTGTTCAAATGTCTCAAGTCGGTAGGATTTTTTAAAATGTTTTTGAAAGTTATGTTCAACAAGGCTGCATTTATTTGTTCAAATACTTCAAATACTCAAATACTTGAACCATTTGTTCAAAAAAATGGTTATTTCAAATTATAATATCTCCCAGTATAACTTGGAGATATTATTACCATTTGAAATAACCATTTTCTAATATTTTCCATTTTTTTATATATTTTAAAATGTAATTTATTCCTGTAATGGCAAAGCTGAATTTTCAGCAGCCATTTCTCCAGTCTTCAGTCTCAAATGATCCTTCAGAAAGATCCTTCTTGGTGCTCAAGAAATATTTCTTATTATTATTGATGCTAAAAACAGTTGTGCTGCTTAATATTTCTGTGGAAACCGCAATACATTTTTTTTTTATTATTATAAAAATTTTGATTTTTTTTTGTAACATTATGAATGACTTTACTGTCACTTGATCAAATAAGCACATTCTTGATAAATAAAAATAATTAGTAAAAAATTATCTAACCTCAAACTTCTAAACGTTAGTGTATATTATGCTACTGTTCCTCCAGCTGAAGCAACTGACAAACCTTTCACAAGTCAATGAATAAATAAATATGAAAAAAAACTGCACATCTGAGTTAGATTTTTCCTTTTTTACAAAGTTGTTTCTGTGAGAGAAAAAAAAAACATTCCTGTGTTTCTGTGTAAAAAGCCATTCTCCTGAAGCCGTCCCTGTGGGACCCTCAAACATACACACACACACACATCTGTGTATCACACATTTACACACAGCCATTTCTTACACTGATCAACACGGACATGCTAATTAGGCTCAGGCTTAATGAGGCTTCTGTGGAAACCAAGTTTTATCAGTGTATTTAATCTCATGTTTGACCCAGCCTGCTGATTCTGGTCAATATCATGGGGACATTTCCCCCCTAACCAAATTACAGGTCAAAGATAAAGCAAGAAAACCAGGACCTCACAATGACGAGTTGAATCCACTAAGCTTTTTACATTTTCTTATAAAAATGTAAACAGTGCCTGAGCAAATCTCACTGCCATGTGTTTGCTATAGGTGCTTTTTTTTAAACAAATTTCTTTGTGTAGATCAAGGAAGAACACTGAAAAGTGTGAAATCTGCCTCAATCCGAAAAACCTAATCTATAGGTTGACTTTTTCTTTCTCCATAGCAGTAGTATTTCACATATCTGCTTCCTGTACTCAAGCCTTCACTTCATCTCACTCTTTTTCATTCCCTCTGGATGTTTCTTCATTCTCTCTATCATAAAGGGCTGTAGTCGCTGTGGGATATTCACTCCTCTGCGTGGACTGGCGAGGGAACAAAAGTGGGTGATCGTTTCTTCCTGCAGTCATGTTTCCTAGGTCATTATCCAACAATTGCTTTTGTAGAGGAATGGCACTTTTTTTTTTTTGGAGCCTTTGGATTCAAAGCTTACTCACACACTTCACACTTCGTAAACTTGACGGATAAAAATATCTAGAAGCATATGCTTGGTGCAATCAAGTACAAAAGTTCTTCATGCATAATATAAGATGACTGCTTGGGTTAGAATTTAATTAACACAAATACTCTTACAAAAGGTCCTTTGGTGGTGGTTTCATGGGATACAGACGGTATCAATACTGTATATTACATATATTGCCATTTTCACACTATTATTTTCACTATTTTAATATAATAACAAATATTGATCCTCTGCATATCAATACAGTGTGATAATTACCTGTAAATGATATGAACACTACCATTCAAATGTTTGGCATCAATAACACTTTAAACTGATCAAAAGTGACAGTTAAGACATTTAAAATATTACAAAAGATTTATATTTCAAATAAATATTGTTATATTCTTCAAAGAATTCCGTAAAATGTAACAGTTTTCCACAAAATTATTAAGCAGCACAATATTGATAATAAGAAATGTTTTTTGAGCACCAAATTGGCATATTAGAATGATTTCTAAAAGATCATGTGGCACTGAAGACTGAAATAATGATGCTCAAAATTCAGCTTTGCCATCACAGGAATAAATTACTTTTTTTTTTAAATATTAACAGAAAACAGTTATTTTAAATTGTAATAATATTTCACAATATTACTCTTTATACTGTGTGTTTGACCAAATAAATGCAGCTTTGGTGAGAATAAGAGACATATTTCAAAAACATGGAAAAATCTTACTGACTTTTGAAAGTTAGTGTAAAATATTTTAATACCTTGAAATATTATTTCAAAATCACATTATTATATTTTGAAATTGCATTATTATTATCTACTATTTCATAAAAGGTTTAAAAATAACAATAACGGCTATGGACACTGAAACATTTAACAAAAATGGACAGATGTGAAATATGACTCTTTATTTTGATATTTAGCGTGTGGGACGAGCTCACCTTAGCTGGTGTATGGATCCAGATGGCAGCATTAAACAAAACATGATCACACAGCTGCTTCAGTAAAGGAGCTCCATGAGTCAACCCATCTAGATACTTGGCAAATGACAGAAACTGCTCCAAAACTGCCCTGGTGATGTGCACCCGAGAAGACTAATGACGAGAGAGAGAGAGAGAGACAGGTGTCAGACAGACAAAGTGAGAGACACAGTATAGAGTGAGACAGACCATGCGTTTCAAGCTTTTGACACTTTTTATTAATACAAACTCTAGATGCAATCTGGATTCGATCCTGCATCTCCTGAACAAGTGCTGTAGCTCAGTGTGTCTAGAGCATGTGTGTTGCCCACTAAGCCATGGCTCTGATTATCTTAAAGGGATAGTTCACCCAAAAATGAAAATTCTGTCATTAATAACTCACCCTCATGTCGTTCCAAACCCGTAAGACCTTCGTTCATCTTCAGAACACAAATTAAGATATTTTTGACAAAATCTGAGAGCCCTCTGACCCTCCATAGACAGCAAGGGTCCTACCACGATCAAGGTCCAGAAACGTAGCAAAGCCATTGTTAAAATACTCCATGTGACATTAGTAGTTCAACCGTAATTTTATGATGCTACGAGAATACTTTTTGTGTGCAAAGAAAACAAAAATAACGACTATTCAACAATTTCTTCTCTTCCGTGTCAGTCGCCTTGTTTACAAGCAGAAGACGCACGCTGTACATAAAACAGTCTAAGTAAACATGTCTGAAAATTTTGACAGAGGATGACTTGCGATTTTTTGCCCAGCCTTACTTTTTTGAACCAGAACAGACGATAAACTAAGAGAGATGGACGTTCTACATCAGAAGCATGCGTCGTGATACTCCTGTGAACGCGCATCGACGGAGACTGACACGTAAGAGAAGAAATTGTTGAATAAAGTCATTATTTTTGTTTTCTTTGCGCACAAAAATATTTTAGTTGCTTCATAAAATGAAGGTTGAACCACTGATGTGACATGGACTATTTTAACGATTTCCTTACTACCTTTCTGGGCCTTGAATGTGTCAGTTGTGTTGCTGTCTATAGAGGGTCAGAAAGCTCTCGGATTTCATCAAAAATATCTTCATTTGTGTTCTGAAGATAGGCAGAGGTCTTACGGGTTTGTATTCATTTTTGGGTGAATTATTCCTTTAACTATTTCAATTCAGATGATTAAAATGATAAATAGTCATCGTCTGCAACTTCTGCGAATCTGACACTATATATCTATTTTATAATTCTAATTTACAATAAACTGACTTTTAATTAGAAAAATAATAATGGACATCTGTCTTACCTTCTCCAGTAAATAGCCAATAACCAGGAAGCCTTTTCCGCCCAACATCTGCTCTTGCATGGCTACTGAACTCTTCAACAACTCCACTAGAAAAGCTAGGAGAGTGGCACTGCAAGCAGAAATGAAGAAATACATTTAAATATGTAGCATTGTGAGAGAACAGGATCAGGATACAATGCATAAGGGGTTCAACCTGCATTTCTAACATGAGCACCAAGGCTCAACACATCCGCAGGACAGTCACCAAACACTAAACCACAACTCCAACATTGAATACACTCTTAAAAACAAAGGTTTCAAATGAAGCTTTCAGATCAGTTCTTCAAAGAACCATTTTTTCTTAGTGTGAAGAACATTTTCAAATCTAAAGAACTGTTTTCCAAGGTTCCATGGATGTTAAAGGTTCTTCTTGGAATCATCAATGCTGATAAAGAACCTTTATTTTTAAGAGTGCACATTTCTTATGGTAGCCGTATGTTTAAGGACACCTCAAGGGCAAGACCGTATCTCAATGAGCAGTATAAAACGAAAAATGTACACACACACGCACATAATGATGGTTTCCCTTCCTTGAAGCAATATCATCATTCCAGCAAACACGAATTATGTCTTAGTTTCTTAAATGACGTAGTTGAGGCAGTGAGATTGCAGATGAAATCCTCAGAGTGTCTCTTTCTCTTTCTAAACTGCCATAAGCCGACTGATGGCCCGGTGACCTCACCCATCTCCCCACAGACAGTAAACCCCAGCGGGGAACATTACCACTGATCGATACCCCACAGATCTCTGCTCCGCTGATTATGCCTGCCAGCTCACTGCTGATCTCTAATCTAGTCGCCATGCCTGAGAGCTCACCGTGCAGAACCAAGCGATGACCTGAGAAATGAGGGTACGACCATACCAGCCTCTCATCCCTCTTTGAGGGGTCTCTCTCTCATTCCTAGTGTCTATGTGAACATGAATGTCATGAATCTCTCAAAATCCCACGCTCTCTCTGTCACGCTCTATTTCTATCCGAGAATGACAGATTCCATTTATAATTCATGGCAGACGTCCCTGTCAGTGACTGACTTGAGTTTTAGTCTCCATTATGGCAGCAACTTATTATTATCAAATACAAAACTAGAAGCTATGGACCTAGGGCCTAGGGAGGGCCATGCAGACACTACTTTGACATCTTTTTATTAGTGCTGTCAAACGATTAATCGCATCCAAAATAAAAGTTTTGGTTTACATTATATATGCATGTGTACTATGTATATTTATTATGTATATATAAACACACATACAGTATATATATATTTTCTTATATTTTATATTATATATAAACATATTTAATATATAAACAAACATATGTTTCTTAAATATATACTGTACATGCATGCGTTTGTATTTATTTATATATACATAATAAATATACACAGTAAACACACATATATTATGTAAACAAAAACTTTTATTTTGGATGCGATTAATCGCGATTAATCGTTTGACAGCACTACTTTTTATGTTTTAAAAATAAATCTCTTTTGCTCATCAAGGTTGCATTTATTTTATTAAAAATGCAGTATTCAGTAATATTATGAGATATTTCAATTTAAAATAACCATTTTCTATTTTAATATATTTTAAAATATAATTTATTCCTGTGATGGCAAAGCTGAATTTTCAGCATCATTACTCCAGTCTTCAGTGTCACATGATCCTTCAGAAATCATTATAACATGCTGATTTGGTGCTTAAGAAACGTTTCTTATTATTATCAATGCTGAAAACAGTTGTGCTGCTTTTGTGGAAACTGTGATGTATTTGCTTTTCAGGATTCTTTGATGAACAGAAAGTTAAAAAAGAACAGCATTCAAACTGAAATCTTTTGTAACATTATAAGTATCTTTACTGTTACTGAATAAAAGCTTTGATTACTTAAAAAAAAAAAAAAATACCCCAAACTTTTGAACAGTAGTAGTTTCTGTATGTTAACCTGGGATAGAAAAGAGCAGTGTAGAAAGAAAGGTAGAATATTCTCTTATAGATATAAATGGCATATGATAAGTTAAAATTGAAGATTTAATGAACCCTGAGAGTTGCAATTGTAAATTTAGCTCTGTGGATCTGCGGTCTGTGTGGTCAATACTCACCAGACGGTCGTCTCCACAGGGCTGTCGTTAGGTTGCCTGTAGTCCAGCTGTGAGAAGAGCGGGAAGAGAACTTGGATTCCTCCAATAGAGTGGATGGCGCTGTGGATGGAGTGAGTGACGATGGCCTTCACATCCTGCATACACAAACAAAAATGCCCACTTGCTTATTAGAAAACTGGGTAGGAAACTTGAATATGAAATATGGTTCTTTCTACATCAAAACACTTTTCACATAAAAAAAAAAAAAACACAGTAAACTAAATCGAAAATTACATGGACATGTTTAACTATTTAATCAAAAACATTTCCTCCCTACATAATTTTTTTTTTTTTTCAGTTTTGTAACCGGTTTTTTTCCCCCAGAACTCAAGAATCAGTAAAAAAAAGCAGAGATAAACATATGTTATGTGTGTGTGAGAGTAAAAACTGACCTGCAGCATCAGGGCATGTGGCGAGTGCACAAATATGGAGGGGTTTTCCCTGGGCGAGGACTCCAGGCACAGCTGTGCGTCGGTGGCTTTAGCGTTGTAGGTGAAGCCTATGCTGCTGGCCAACTTCCCATCATACAGAACCTGCTTATGGTGCTCCGCCAGGTGGATGTCGCTTTCCGACTTGAACTTAAACGTGCTCTGTGAAGACAGAGAAACACATAAATGAGCAACATCCTTCAAATTAAGTTCTCTCACATTTAGCTTCTCTTTCAGTCTCTCTTGGCAGCAGACTCGTGGAAAGCACCAGGGACCGGGTCGCATCCCAGAGGACTGATAATGGTAATAATAATAATAAAAAGCTTTAATTTCTGAGGCACAGAGCAGCCACACACACAGGCGTACATTATCTTAATGAAGCTCTGGCTGCAGAAATGTGCTATTTCACTAATGGCTCTAAACGTAAGTGTGAGTCGGTATGAGCATGTGTGTGTAAATGTGCGCGTGTATCTGCAAAATCTCTCTCATGTAAAGCACTTTGTGTCAGTAGTCATCTACTCATCTGAGGGAGTGAATGAGAGACTTGCATAAGATCATGCAGAATTTCCTGACCGTGCATGACTGGACTTTCAACTCACCATTTGATTTGCTTTTTTTCCACAATAATTTATATATTTATACATCAAGATAGATGGCCAATTTAAAGACATATAACATCAAATTCGACTATTTACTTTCATAAGTATTATTATTATTATTTTTTCATATTTTTATTAATAAATAAACAAATACATAAATGAATAAACAACATAAAAATGCTATAATAAATACACAATAAATAACATAAAAAGAAATACTCAAATAAATATTATAAATAAGTAAATTTAATCTTTTCTTTGCTAATGAAGTAACTAAGGTCAAGAGGGAAAAAATATTAACCAGTAATATAAATCTGAAATGCCTCTCCTTCCACTTGTCATTTAAAAACCAATCAAATCCCAATGTATAAAATCCCATCCCACATTATGTCTCACAGAATATTCAGTTTTATTATATAAAACAGAATATTCTGTGAGACATAATGCCTTAATAACAGTACGATGCAAATAAGCCCTTGCACTGGCACTGTGATTCACTGCAATTTCCTCAGGCCTGCTGCCAATGTGTCCACTTAGCAACACTCTGACTGGCACTGAGCGCAGCATCAAGACTTCTCTACCAGACTCTATTCACACACCCGCACACCAGACCAAAATACACACACAACTAACATAACTAGCTCACTAAATAGGAACATACAGCCTTCTATTAAGAACAGCATAAGACGTTTTATCATGCAGAGTCTAAAAGCTAAATCACAGCATGCTATGAGCACAATAATTAAAGCATCAAAACTTAAAATATATACAAAAATAAAAACAACAATTCTGAAATATCAAATAAATAATTAAAATAAATAATAAAATAAACAATAACAACAATACCTATAACTATACAAATAATAATAAAACTATAAGACAAATTGTAGTAAAACTATAATAAACTAAGAATAAATAAATAAATAAATATTTACATGTATAGGCCTACATATTGTAGCATTTTTTTATCCAAAAACAAGTCAAAGAGTCAACAATATTCATAATATAAAATGCCAGGTTTAGACAACTAGATTAGGACAATAGATAAGGACAACTAGATTATAAATAAATAAATAATAACAACAACTATATAAACTAACAATAAAATTATAATAAAACTAAAAATAAATATTTTCATGAAGTTTTTCTCAAATACAACTTTCTTTGCTGATGATGAAACCATGGCTATGTAAGAGGGGAAAATATTAACCAATAATCAATTTTATTATTATTTTTTTGCCTTTTTCATGGATAGGACAGTAAAGAATGACAGGAAAGTGTGGGCTGGAGATTTGGGAATGGGATTGGCAAAGGACCACTAACCACTAGGCTATCAGCACCGACACCAATAATTAATATTAATATAAAATAATAACCGACTATGCTGTTAGCATACTAATTAAAGCATCAAAACTAAAAAAAAAAAGTTTTTAATTCAGATTTATATATATGACAAATAAATATATCTCTATATATAATATAAAGTACAAAAACTAAGTACACAATAAATAAACAAACAGCATATAAATATACAGTAGTTAATTGCCTATGCGACTAGCCGGTTGTTTTATGACCATCAAATCCACCAACATGACTCATCTCTATTTTTAACCACTTTTCCCTGAGAACATCCCAAAAAGGATGTTCTATCATATTCATCAATGAACTACACAAAAAGAGAAAGAGACCATTAATATGATCACGCAGTCAGTCGGCATGAGCACAATATGTAATCTGGCCCAGTGTTCCGGCACGTTCACATGGCATTCATCTTGTCCGTCACGCAGGGCACAGGAGCTGTCTGGGAATCGGGTCACTGCTTCGACACACCCTATGGCTGACAGCCCATGCTGCAAAGCTAGCACAGTTTTTCCTTGCTGTCTCTCTCTCTTTTGCTCCTCGCAATCCCATGAGAGGACAGCTGCACCAGCGGCAGCGACAGAGACTAACAGCACTGGAATTAAGCAGAGCCTTCATACACTGATGATCTATATAACTTACAAACACACTCACACACACACACACACAGACAGACACACAAAGTCGCCGGTCCAGAAGGCTCTCTTTGCGACAATGCCAAGTGCCCCATACCTCACATGCTAATTACCACGGCAATGCACAGCCAGAGAGCAGCTTGTTGGCTGTCACATGCTGACCAGACATCTGGACTTCCTCTGGTAAAGGGACCACATCAACCAGCAGCAGCAGCAACACACACTCACATCCAGACTTTCACAGACAAACTGACAGATAAGGACAAAATGAGCAACAGATATATGAGCACACACACATTCTGGCCTCAAATTTCCAGATATATTCCATATATGTTGCATGCATGTAATAATCGGCTTCATATGACTCGACATGGCATGCTATCATTCTGTTTATACTAGTTTTGTATTATGCAGTATGTGTATTATGCAGAACCTGTGCATTTTATGTATGCATGAATGCATGAATGCCTGCTACATTTGCAAATATGTGCATTATATATGCAGTAAACAGAGCATACTCTACATAGGGCTGGACAATAATTCAAGAGAATGAGTTTTCATTTTAAATAAGCCCGTCTCCAGCAACGTTTCCAGTTTTTGTTGTTCTTCATTTTTTTTGTTTTCTGCAGCGACTCTGAGAACTTTTCATACCCTTTTTTTCTGGCTGAAGCACATTTGTTTCAATCTATAAGAATAATCAGCCTACACTACCAGTCAAAAGTTTTTGAACAGTAAGATTTTTAATGTTTTTTTTTTTAAGAATTCTCTTCTGCTCACCAAGGCTGCATTTATTTGATCCAAAGTACAGCAAAAACAGTAAAATGTTGAAATATTTTTACTATTTAAATTTGCTTTCTATTTGAATAGATTTTAAAATGTAATTTATTCCTGTGATCATACATAGGTAAATTTTCAGCATCATTACTCCAGTCTTCAGTGTCACATGATCCTTCAGAAATCATTCTAATATGCTGATTTGTTGATTATCAATATTTAAAACAGTTGAGTACATTTTTTTTTTTCAGGATTCTTTGATGAATAGAAAGATCCAAAGATCAGCATTTATCTGAAATAAAAAGCTTTTGTAACATTATACACTATTCCATTCAGTATAATTTTTATAATTTTTTGGGGGAAAGAAATGATAGAAATGAATACTTTTATTTAGCAAGGATGCTTAAAATTGATCAAAAGTGATGATAAAGGCATTTATAATGTTACAAAAGATTTCTATTTCAGATAAATAGTGTTCATATCGATATCGGAATTATATCATATCGACCGAAATTAAGAAATATATCGTGATATCAATTTTGGCCATATCGTCCAGCCCTAACTCTACACCAGTGTTTCTCAACCCTGGTCCTGGGCGTCCCCCAGCACTGCACATTTTGTGTGTCTCCCTAATCAAACACACCTGATTCAACTCATTAGCTCATTAAAAGAAACTCCAGGACCTGAAACGGGCGTCAGATAAGGAAGACATGCAAAATGTGCAGTGTTGGGGTGCGCTCAGGACCAGGGTTGAGAAACACTGCTCTACACTAAATTCCAGAATGCAATGCACTGTATGTCCCTTGACCTTTATTTCAAGACTGACCAATCAATAATTCCTACCATCCTTGACTCATTATTTGATCATACTTCCAAGTTGACATATTCACATGAAATTAAATTGACAATGCAAGAATGTTTTCACTAGATGGTGTTTGTTCCATCATGCAATCTACTGAGGTAATTTGACAACAGTGTACAGTAGCATACTCCTGCTTGAAACATCATCTTTGCATAATGCATACTGTTTCATATACAAGAGGTTAGACTGAACGTGCAATGAAGTCATGTGACAGTAATATTGCATATTACTTGCAGTATCTATAACCTTTATTGCTACATGTTGCATATACTTTCTTTATTCCCCCCCAAGAAGTTAATACTTTTATTCAGCAAGGATGCATTAAATTGATCTAAAGTGACAGTAAAGACATTTATAATCTCCAAATAAGCTTATTAAAATGATTTCTGAAGGATCATGTGACACTGAAACCTGGTGTAATGATGCTGAAAATTCAACTTTCCCATCACAGGAGTAAATTACATTTTAAAATATATTAAAATAGTAAACAGCTTATCGAATCAAATTTATTTTAAATTCTAATAATATTTTATAATAATAATAATGTTTTAGTGTATTTTAATCAAATAAATGCATCCTTGGAGAGCATAATAATTTTTTAAAAACTTTTTTGTGCCCTTCGTTGACGATCTGGGCCTGTGTTGGCTAATCGTGAAAGTGATGGTGGTATTGCAGGTGGGAGAAAGCGCTGTACATTCACTCCCCCCACCTACAATCCCTGCCGGTACGAGACTCAAACATACAACCTTTGGGTTACAAGTCCGACTCTATAACCATTAGGCCACGACTTCCCGTGAATCACATGACTTCATTTGCATGTTTTTAATATGGTGACAGCAGGAGGAATGGCTGATGCTGCACAGACATAAGGTAACCTGTACTAGTGGACTAGTAAAAATAAAGCAGTGACCTGTAAAAAAAAAAAAAAAAAAAAAAAAAAAAAGGCTTGAAAATGGCCTACAAAGGCAGTAGATTTCATTTTTTGTCACTTAAATGGAAAAAAACAGGAACAAGCTTTAAGGAGCCCTATTAAGGCCAATGTATGCCTTTTTTATGTAAGGGGGCATCGCATGTTGATGACAAAAATACTATAGTGTATTATGGCACAAAATCCTATCCTCCTCACAGTACAGTACAATTTTATAGTCTTATTGATTAAGGAAGCTGTAGTATTTTTGGCATTACTATAGTACTTTCCAAATAGAGCTTGATAACCAAGAGAAGTGAGGTTGGCATAAACTAAAAATGTCACTCACAGTAATCACCAAGGTTTTGCTTCAGTGCAAGTTTGTGTTCAAAAAGAGTATACATATGTTTATCAAAAATTGCATTGGAATGAAATGTTCCCTTATTCAAATGGTTGTCGCTGCCATCCAAGCCTGTGTCTCCGCCTGTACTGTAGCTTTAACAGATGAATTGTTGTGCTTGTAAAAGTGTTTCCATTTTCTCCTCAAATGTGGAGAATTAGCACTAGTATTAGTGTCTGAGTAGAGAACGCTAAACACATCTCAAACGCACGCATAATCATGTAATACCATCACTATCAGCCATGGTGCTAATATATGTAAAAAAGTAATATGCTACCATTTAAAAAATGTGGGGTCAGTAAGATTTTTTAAAGGAAATCAATACTTTTATTTAGCATGGATACATTTAAAATGATCAAAAGTGACAGAGGGCACGGAAAAAAAAAAAAAAAAAAAAAAAAAAGATGCTTGCATTAAAAATCCACATCAAGATTTATATCAATAATGTAAAACATTCATTGCTTACATCAGGTCTGAGGTCTCTTAAGGCATCTTCATGACAGAGCGACACACACACACACACACACACACACACACACACACACACACACACACACACACACACAGCCCATGAATAATCCACACTCTCTGCTCTCTTGATTTTTCTTCTATAGTTGGAGTGAGCTGCAATCAGGCACCCAGGAACTTTTAGCCGCGTGGGTACAAGGATTAATAATTAAAAATCCCTCAATAAGCCAGATTCAGTTAACTTTCTGTGCCAAGAGAGAGAGAGACAGAGAGGGAGAATATGACATGCTTTCATTTTTAATTCTCAGATTTATTGAAGAGACTTTCTGTCTCTGTTATCCTGGTTTAACTTGACACTAAACACTGCCTAATGAACTCAGCCTGGTTACATGTAACAGGTTCATAATCTCTCTTCAACACAAACTGTTGGTTGGGCTAATAATCACAATCTTGTTAACACCCTGACTATCCTAAAAGGCTGAATGACTGGATGATAAATATTTTAAAAGAATCTAAATATTTTGCTGTTTTATTTGATGATTATATTCAATATATTTATATACATTTTAAACAACCATTATTAAATTAATTTTAAATTCATATTTTAATGCAAGAAGTAAAATACAGTTTAAATCTTTTTTATTATTATTATGATTAATTAAGGCACATTTTCCACTAAACCAGCACAGGGAAGAATAATATTTGGTCACTTTTATTTATATTCACTTAAATAACAAATATTATTAATATTATTATTATTTACCTTAATAAGATTAATTAACCAAAACAAAATATTTCTATTAAAACATTTTGATATATTAAATATGTTACACAGGGACTTTTGTGTGCTTAAATTAAGTTTTGAATTGATTCACTGACTGTTTGAAATGATTAATGGAAATGAATCAATCTTTTACTTTCATTTATATGAACCAATATAACAATAAACAACATTAAACAAAATTTACTATTATTTACCTAATATTATTCATTAATTTAAAACAGAAAATTAAATCAAATAAATATTACTAAGCAAATATAAAAATATGTTTTTTACAAAAATATTTAGATACATGAAAAGTGTTACATAGGGACTTAAGTGTACAAGTTTAAATGATCTCAATCAAATATTGTGAAATTAGTCTAATGACTAGCCCTCAGAAAATGAATAAACTTTACCAAATAAAAGCACATTGCAATATATATCATGTTGCTCAATTTTATAATCATATAATACTTACTTTACTTTACTTTATTGTCATTTTAACAGAGTTCCAATGAAATTCTCAGTGGCACAATCCAGTCTGCAGCATATCATTAAAATCAATAATGAAATACAATAAAATACAATAAAATAACAAATGTATTAGTATAAAAATAAAGAAATAAAGTCTAATCACAGAATTCACGGACAGCATTAAGAGAAGCTACTGCTCTTGGATAAAAGCTATTATACTATTTTAGCTATTTTAAATACATTGTGAATATTAGATATATCGCTCAGTCTTATAAAGCAGCAGCCTAAATAAGCTGTGCTTTGCCTGATGCAAAAAACAATGACCAGATCAGCACTGAGAGATGTGGTTAATCATCTGTCCATTTAGCAGTAATGTACGACCACATCATCTGACTCAAGTAAACAAAAGCTGCTTATAATCGTCAGATCATCTGACCCGCGTAAACAAGCCCTGTCCGCATGCTTCCTCAGAGCTTTAGCTTAAATTAGGGAGTCTGGTGCTTGGCTGGAGAGAAAAATTCTGTGAGAAAAATCAAACTCGACCGCCTGGATTTCCCCTCAACGCTCTTCTCTTAAACGGCTATTAATTGGTCAACTAGAAAGACAAGCAATTAACATCACTCATCTATCCTCTCCTCTTCGTTTCTGTACTGAGAAGGGATTTTTTAAGGGTTCATCTATGTCAAGTGCTGCTTTGGCATAAACACTTCAGCCCATGAAGCAGAAGCAGCTATCAGCTCCCACATGCGTATAGACCCAAGAGACAAGCCTGTCTGAGAGGTGAGAGTCTGGTTAATGAACGAGAAAGAGAGAAGAGAGAACATCAGGTGTTATTAACAGACCTGCCAGGGAAATGTAGAGCCGGTGTAATGAGAAAGTATTTTAGCACAGCCCATGTTTCAGGAAGGGTTGTCTCAGCCTTACACGAACCGTGACTGTTCACTGAACTACTCACAGAAAACTAGAAAAGTACTTCACAGAAAAGTACAGCTTTTTATCAATCAACCTGAAAGCTCTAGTTCATACTCATCACAGCTTTTCTAAAGGTTTGGCAATAGATAACACTAACAAAGAATAATTTATAGTCAAAGAAATAAATGCATGAGTATAAATGACCTCACACTTTTGAAATTCCCTGATATTCTATCAGTTTATCCTAGTGGAGAAAAAAACACTAAAATGTATTGTAATAAATGTGTTTTGTGCTAAGTATACTACAAATACATTTACATATTTAGGAGCTTAATTAATATACCCTGCAATTACAGTTTTAGTGATATTAAAACACATTTTAGGCATAATATTAAGAAATGTGCAATGTGCAATAAAGAAATACTCCAAATAAAGTTTAATTAGAATTTGATATCAGTAAGTCTTAAGTAATATGTCAGTATACTTAGTATGAAATAAATGTATTTTAAATAAATTATTACACAGGATTTTTTTTACTACTGTATGAAATCCTGAAATCAACACTGCATTATCCTTTGCAGATAAAGCAGTCCCAGAATGCACTGCGTTAAACAAAGTCAAAGTACTTGTCAGACTCTGGGCCAGGTTTTGTGTGTGTCTTTGCTCCCTATGTGCTCCGTCTTCCAGTTTCTCTGTCTCGTGTTTTGAATTCTTTGTTCCCAGGTGTTTCCTATGTTGATTGTCTTATTAGTTCCAGGTGTCCCTTGTCTTCCCCTCATCAGTTCCTGTGTATTTAAAGTGTGTTCTAGTTCTTGTCCTTTGTCAGTCGTTGAACGTCATCCTGATGTGTCGAGTCCTGTGATCCCCAGCCTTTGTTAATAAAACCCTTTTGATTTATTCTACTCCGTGTCTCCTCGCTCCTTCGTTCCCGTGTTCCTCGTGTGTGTGCACCGTGACAGTACTATAATTACATTAACCTTTATCCTGCATTCAATACTGACAAGTAACAGTATATAATAGCGCCATCAATTTTTTTATACATTTTTGCAGCATTTTGCATCATTAGTTCCCTTTCATGGGAACTCCTCTAGGGGTCGCTATGGGGAACGCCTCGCATGGCTGTCGCCGGCCAACGAGTTGGTGTTTTTCAATGTATGCTTCAGACACGGGTCACGACGAGGCGTTCCCCATAGCGACCCCTAGAGGACGCAGTGTCTCGTTCCCTACTCAGGGAACCATGGTTACATAAGTAACCTGAGACGTTTAGCAATATGGACAAATGCCAAACTCTACTGAATCATCCCTGTATTATTTTAGCATTATTTAAATACTATAATAGTTTGTATTCATATTTGTAATTAGCTTTTATTTTTAGTTTTTTATTTTATTTTTAGTAATTTTGTTATGTGCTTTTTTCAGTTGTTCTATTTAGCTTAAAATTATTTTTATTTAAGTTTTAATTTTAGTCATTTTGGTACTTCACCTTATTTTAATTGCCAAGGCAAAATTTCTAACAAGTTTTTCAACTAGTATTTATGTCTTATTTTATTTCAGCTTTACTTCAGTTAACAAAACCGATTTTAATAGTTTTAGCTGTAGTTAACAAAAAACAACCCTAAATCAGACTCATTTGAGATGCCACATTCAAGTGGCATGTGAGTGACTGTTGCTGCCCATGTAGATAATTTCAAAGCACGAGGTTTAATTTTAATACATACACTACTGCAGAGAATAAGTGTCTGTGTAGATGGCAGACAGTGAGGTTGAGTTTAGGAAGAGAGCTTTTATGTTACACCGCCTGTCAGTTTCAGAACTAATCCATCTGAATGTTCTCAGCACAGAGTTTAATTACGGCACTAAGTATTCAGTCAAACACAATATGCCCACTTTGTACTGCAACAATTGAGCAGCAAAGGTGGAGGAGTATCCCACAGCTGCACAGCACCCTGCTCTCTCAAAAGTGATCTCAGGGTTTATACCTTATACCCGGGTCCGAGCTGATGAATGGCAAAGATCTGTGCAGGGTTTAGCGCCTCACTGAAGACGTAAATGGCTCCGAGCTGCCCACAGAACACCCGGTTAGCATCCGCAGTCTCTGAAGAGCCCAGGAAACATTTATCATAACTCTGCAGGAAGGGAGAGAGGAAGAGGAGGTAATCAAGATAAAGGAATAAAAAAAAAAAAAAACAAGAAGAAAGAACCAAAAGTGGAGCGTTTTATCAGCTCAACGGCTTGAGAGTTTGTCGGAAAAGGCCCTCTGGAGCTGTTTACTTGCTATCTTCTGGTCATCTTGTTCTGAATTACTTCAGCTGGTCTATATGTAATATACTATAAAGATTTACCTAAGTGAAAAAGGTGTATGGCTAATCTATATCCCTTTGATCCACAGAGACAAGCGCTTATCTAATCACATGTCATTTGGACCCTACAGGCGCAATATTTTTCAAAGCTAAAGAAACAGAAGTTGATTTTGGCAACACTGAGATGGTTATGTGCTTCTTGAGGCTGTGTATGAAAAAGAATGAGAATGTAAAGGCACTGAAAATGTGGGAAAGCTGTTACCAGCACAAACACTTACATCATTGGTGTTGACGTGCCATGCCATGTCGCCGTAGGAAACCAGCTGACCGTTGACATAGCAACGGATCTCGCTATTCCTCCAACGGTTGTAGATGTGGACTATGCTGATCATGTACCACTGTAGAAGAGGACAGGAAGTAGAAATGCAAGTATTCAATATTCACACAGCTCACTCAGCCAAGCATATGTAAAAGGTAGAGTAGTAAACACAGTGTTCTTTATGGAAGCCCCGTTTCCACCACAGAATAGAAAAAAACTTTTTATCTCACAATTCTAACTTTATTTCTTATGATTCGGAGTTTATATCTCGCAGATCTGACTTTATTTCTTGTAATTATAAGTCTCTATCTCACCATCTCAAACATTTTCCTCAAAACTGCAAATTCATAGCACACAATTCTGACACAAATTTGAGTTAACATCTTGCAACTCAGATTTTTCTCAGAATTGCAAATTTATAGCATGTAATTCTAACTTTACTTCTCATAATTACGAGTTTATATATCGAAAATTTGAGTTAACATCTTGCAATTCAGATTTTTCTCAAAACTGCAAACTTACAGCAAGCAATTCTGACTTTATTCCTCATAATTACGAGCTTACATCTCGGAAATTTGAGTTAACATCTCGCAATTCAGATTTTTCTCAGAATTGCAAATTTACAGCCCACAATTCTGACTTTATTTCTCACAATTATGATTCAATAGCTCACAGTTTGGAATTATCATCTCAGAATTGCAAGTTAATATCTTGCAATTTTGACTTTTTCTCAGAATTGCTAAATTATAGCACACAATTCTCATGTTATTTCTCATAATTACAAGTTTATATCTCACAATTTTGAATAAACATCTCGTAATTTAGACATTTTTTCCTCCAAATTTCATGGATGAAAGGATTAATCTGTATCATGAAATACTCCTGTTTTGGTACATTTCATTTTGTATGCATATAAATTCATAAAGTTCATAAAATCATGCATTTCATGATCCAGACAGACCATTTCGTCCACAAAATTATGCAGGCCACTAGGTTTGGATTGGTTATCAGAAGCACAGGGAGAAATCCCATTGGACTAGCTACTCATTTGGCCTTTTGGCCTACTTATTTATTTACTTATTTATTATTAGGTTATATTTTTGCATGCCCAGAGCCACTGAGTGATTTCTAAATTCAGCATTCAATATTAAATTGATAAATTATCCACTAGTCTTGACATGACAGCATAAATTACCACAAAATGAAATTATTTGCAAAAACAAGCAAATTAAATACAAAGCACTTTAACAAAAGAAAAACCCTCTGTAATGCCTTGTCCCATTGGCGTACACTACATTACTGTTAACGCAATGGGATGAGGGGATTTATTTTCTGTGGTAACCGATGGCATGCTACATATAGAGTTTAAATTATACTAAACCAATCTTTCAAGCTTTGGACCAAGAAAATTCTGCGGAAATGACCCGGCCCCAAAATGAAAATGGTTAAATTTTTAGATCAAGCACATAAAACATCATCTCATTACATGCTTCTAAACCGAGAGCTAAATTTACTGAAACAGACTCATTCTGTTTGATGGCAGCAATGCTAAAAGCTGTTTTGGCATATAAATTAAAGATCAGAGCCCTGACGTTTGAAAGCGCTCCAGTGAGGAATACGTCAACATGGATCATGCAAAAGTGTCAACCATGTTTCCGTAATTCAAACAAAAAACTGAGCTCTTGTAGGGTGGAGTCCATATGGATGAGCTCTGGAAATTATTGTGGCCCGTCAGAAATTGGGACATTTAGTGCAAACTTCCTCAAAAGACCTAATTTCCCAAATATCCTCTCCACCTTCCTAGCATCTTATGAAAACGTAAGGCGATATTAGCTGGGGTGACAGCGGGGAAAAAAGGATGAGCTAAAATCTGCTAGACCAAAAATCCATCCCGTAACTGAGATTTCATAGCTTTTAATGCCAGTTAAGATTTTACAGAAATGCAAGAAAGGGTCATCTTCGTCTAGACAGGGCTTTGGATTTCCCCAAAACACAGCCCTAGATTAGTCTTACATTTCCGAACTTTCCGAGCTGCTGGTCTCCACTGACCAATAACAATTACACCATTTAAGTTCTGGATAGATCTTTTAGCTCAGTTAAATTCAATTACGTTTCTTTTTGTTCACATCTCCAATCCTCCCTGATCCCCTGTTTTGCTCTATTCTTTCCCTCTTTAATATCCAAGGAAGTTTAATATAAATCTAAGTCACTAACAAAGTGGTTGATTAAAATCCAGCCCTTTTGTCCCACCACACACAGTTTCAATAGCAGAACAAAGTGCTGACTAATTAGGTGAGTTGTGAAGTTCACTGTTAGGCCGAGTACACATTTTCTCACACTAGCGTGTGTGTGTCTGGGCGAAGGGGTATATCTTGCATTCTAATTGGCACACAACCCTCCCTTGTCGCCCTCTTCTTTGAGCAGACAGGATGAGGTATCATGTTCAAACATCCCTTGCCAAACTTATTTTCATTTGTCGTTTAACAACGCGCGCGATTGAGCAGAATCCGTCCCACTGGGACAATAAGAGGAGCCAAGTTATCAAAAACCAGATGTTGCTGTATCAGCCCACTCTGAGTGAGAGGGGAAAAAAGAGAGAGCGCTAAATAGACAGATCCTGAGTACTAAAAAGGAATAAGGTGCTATGGGAATAAATCCCTCTGGAATTCCCTTTGTTTCTTTTGTGCACAAGCTAAAAAGTTAGAAGGGCTTCAAGTAGGGCTGACTCGGTGGACACATCAAATTTGTGCAAAGATAAAGACAGAGAGAGACAGACAGGTGTGGTTTAACCATAGACTGTATAAAAACATGGACGTAGTGTCCGTGACGTAACCCGTAGACTTCCGACGAGTGTTTTGAAGCCTAAAGTAGGCGGAGCCAGCCGTCGCCATCTTGGCACTCCCGGATAATCGAAAATGGGCAAAGAGGCGGGAGCTGGCTGCTGAAACCACGCCCACCTAGCTCGACGGTGGTGACAGCAGCGGCAATCCACCTGTCACTCAAGTGGCCACGCCCTTAATTATGCAGAACTTTAAGGCTTAGTATCATTTAAACGGATGAGTTATAAAAAAATTCACCCCCCTCACAGTTGTCATGAAGGACAAAATTAGCTATATAGACCAAAATCATTTTTTGAACCAGGCTGTAAACATGTTTTTTTCTGCTGTAAAAAACATTTTGGGCATTTTAACATGGGGAGTCTATGGGATTGACTCCCTTTTGCAGCCAGCCTCTAGCGGCCAGTTGACGAATTACAGTTTAAGTCACTTCCTTGTTGGCTTCATGAGAGAGAGCGGGAGGTTGCCGCTCGGGTTTAACACAGCTGCTGCCCTCTAGAGGCTCATCCAGTAATCTGTGCAGATAGCCTGTTCATTCACTTCTCAGGGATGAAGAAATAATCTACAGAACAATATAGAGTAATTCATATTGAATTACCATTTTAAGATAAAAAAAACCTTTTCTATTATATTGTTGTTATATATATAATTCCAGGCAGTTACACTTCTCTCGTCTGTCGTTTCACTAGAAGAACGAGTTATGGTATTTTGATTGAAAAAAAAAATTAAACACAAAATTATAAAAAAAAAAAAAAAAAAAGAAACTTAATGCAAGAATGAATCGTTTGCAATAAGATCAATAACATGCATTTAAACAGTGCGAACTTCCATTTTATGGCATCATAAATGGGTATGTTCAATTAAAGTTACAAAATTATCCAAGAAAAGATATCTAGATTTCTAGATTGCTATGCAGTTGCTAAGGTTTTCAAGTGTTATTTATGCATAGCTATGTGGCTGCTAGGTTTACTGGCCTCTACTCAACAAAATTCACCTGAAGATCTGAAGTTCAAAAACAAAGTTAGTTCAAAATCAAACCCCCTCAATAAAAAAAAAAAACAGTCATTTTGATGTCACTAATAAAGGAAAAGACCATATATTAAAGGGATCATATGACGCGATTTCATGTTTTCTTTTTTTTTGGAGTGTTACAAGCTGTTTGTGCATATATAAGACCCGTAAAGTTGCAAAGATTAAAGTCTCAAACCCAAAGAGATATTCTTTCTTAAAGTTAAGACTCATCCACGCCTTCCTAAAACACCCCATTCAAACACACCCCAACAAATCTACGTCACTGTTTGGGAAGATTTGCATAACACCGCTCAAATGTATACACAAAGAAAGAAGGAGTAACTTTTATTCTCGCTGTAGTATTGTTGCCATCGCCGCCATGTGGTGGAGAGTCAGTGTGTTTCCAAATATGGTAAGGGGCGTAACATTTCCTTCACACTCTTGAAGTATTTGGCCAATCACAATGCACTGGATAGCTGGCCAATCAGAGCACACCGTGCTTTACAGAACGATGAGCTTTGTAAAAATCAACGCGTTTCAGAAATGCGGGGCAGAGAGGAGCAAAAATAATAATAACCTTAAACCGCATTACACAAAATACACAAAATAATGTTCTTTTTAGCAACGTCATATGACCCCTTTAACACTGTTCAACCCTCCAATGTACTCTAGATACTCTAGTCTACTTGTGTGTGTAGACAGGTCAAAACTCACCTTCCTAGGCTGGAAGTCGTACTTCACACAGTGTTGAAAGCCTTTCCCCTTTGACTTCAATGATGTCACAATTAAACAGTTCCCCACAAAGTGTGCCGAGTAGCCAATCCCTTTGCTGGTTCGAAAACTAGGGGACAAACAAAAGAGAAAGAACTGACTTTATGAAAACGACAAAACAAAGAAAGGAGGCAAAGAAATGGTAAAAAAAAAACGCAATATGAAACAATATTTTTACATTTTAATGGAAACTTGCCCACTCCACAGGTTTTCTTTCAATATGAATCAACAACCACCCCATCTTTTATTTACAATCTTCTTTCATCTTATATTTGCTCTGCCTTAAACAACTCAAACACTTTTGTTATTCAGGCCATGCTACAGAACAATTTGATTTGTACTTATAGTCAGATGTGAAAACTCAGTGAAAATATGGAGGGAGAATGTCAGGCTTTATTCTTGGCGGGAAAACAAACATGGCTGACTGAGTCATTGGCAGCAGTGATTGCTGGGAGTGCTGGCTGCTGTCGATAAGGTGACTGGCTATCAGTCGGGCCTCAAAGCGGTGCTGTTTCTCTCGCTCTGCGCCTACACGGCTACATAATTCTATGCTGAGCTCACCACGGTAACACAGAAACAGGAAACGGGATTACATGCTGATTTAAGCGAGGTCAGTGGCCCTCAGACTTCTGAAGTGGTAATCTGTACCTTCAGTGTCTCCTCCCTCAATAGTGTGCAAATGCTGCTACCCCAACATGGAGGATATACTTTATTAGCTGTTACAAATATTCAAAAAGGCCTCCTGGTGATACAAGTGATGTTGTAGAAACGTGTGAGCAAATTCATTTCAGTTTCAGCAGTTATTCGTTTTATTCATTTTAATCATATTACATGTAATTATTCAAGGCATCCTTAAAGCCAATATATTCAGTGTATTCAAGTCATACATTTACAGTATGTCTCTTTCCTGGGAATCAAACTCGTGACCGTGGCACAGTTAGCGGCATGTTGAGGTACAGGAAATTTGCATGTAAAATTAAATGACATCTATGTATACTAAGAACTCATTTTGCTGGACTTGTCTGCAACCTTCAACACAGTAAACCAACAGATCATGCTATCTGTTCTCTTGACAGTAAGCATAATGGGAACTGCACTCCACAAGTACTGTAGGTCCTTCGGGGTATCTTGAAGGGGATTACGAGTGTTTTTGTGAAAGAAACCCAGACTAACATCAAAACCAGACCAAAGAATGAAATGCTACAGAAGTGTAGAATACGGCATTAAAGTGTAGCACTGACATTCAATAAAAGGTCAAAACTAACAAGGATCCTCAAGGCTACTCTACAAGGCATCTCCAGTTTACAAAGCTGGTTTATTTTCAAAAACAACCAGAGGTTCTTTGGAGAATCTCCTATGACATTTAGGAATTTTGTGAATTCATATAGTTTGCCCTCTAGTACGGCAGGCTTTTCTTGGTTACTGGAAAATAGGGCAGGGCTCATCACTCCTAAATTAGCAGTCTCTTCTTGTGGGCCAGCCCTGTAGAGACACTTACCACTTCAAACAGAAATGGTAATATAATATTTCATATGCACAGATCTCCCGTGTTTCCAACACGCTGAGAAGCTTGAGGCTCACAGGTGTTGGTCTAGGTCGCTCAGAGCTTCAGCTCTGAAAACAGTCCTGGCATTTACATTTTAATGACTGACGACTGGTCATCATTAAGCTGTACCATTACCTCTGCACATCCTAATGTGCCACACACATTATACTCACCAGTATAAGTATGGTTTATCCTTGTCTACATTGATATTATTGAGTGGGTCCATTCGGAACCAAGTGTTGAGAGTGAATCCATTCTGGTAAGGCCACTTAGCAATGGGTGGCAAAGCAATGGCCTGCCGGGGGGCAAAACACAAGGAAATTAGAAGATGCAAATTTGCATAATCATAGGAACAATGAAAATAACATTTGCAGAATAAGCTGACCACTATATACAAATCGACCTTGGTTCAGTGGTTACTACTCTGGGTTAAATGCAATTTGCACTCTAATAACAGCATTTGTGGCATAGTGTTGATTACCACAATATTGTCAGATAATTTGAGATAATGATTCTCTCAGATTGTACAAAACAAAAACATTTATGCCCTTGCAGTGAAAGGCTACAGGAAACCATGCGGATGGTAGAGGAAAGAAATATGAAACTTGTATTTGTAACATGAATTATATATATATATATATATATATACGTATATATTGTATACATAAATATATAATTTAGATACACTACTTTTTAAAAGCCTGCTAGGATCTTTTAATGTATTCAAAAAAGCAAGACTGCATTTATTTTAATATATTCTAAAATGTAATTTATTCATACGACAGCAAAGCTGAATTTTCAGCATTATTACTCATGTATTTAGTGTCACATGATCCTTCACAAATCACTCTTATATGCTAATTTGGTGCTTAAGAAACATTTCTTATTATTATTAATGTTGAAATCAGGAGTGCTGCTTAATATTTTTGTGAAAACTGTGATAGATTTTTTTCAGGATTCTATTATGAATAGAAAGTTCAAAAGAACAGCATTTATTTGAAATAGAAATCTTTTGTAACATTATAATCATCTTTACTGTCACTTTTGATCAATTGAATGCAGCCTTTGCTGAATAAAAGTACTAATTTCCTTAAATTCTTGCATTAAAAAAATGCAATTAAGCTGACAAAGTGCAGAAAAAATGTAGAATATTTAGAACACTCTCTTTTTAAATGATTATTATCATTGTTGGTGTTCTATAATTCTAACACGAGTCTCATGCTCATACCTATAAAGCCTGGAATGTATACGTTTTATTGTAAAAAGTGTGGGAGACTCTCACCGCCGCACTGCGTCCTGGGAAGTTGAAGAAGGTGTCAGGGCCGTGCCGCTGAGGCATCTGATTCAGCACAGATAGGAGCTTAATGGCGTGTCTTGGCTATAGGCACAGGACACATGGAGGAAGGGAACAATTAAGAGAGGACATTGTAATTAGTGAGAGAGAGGGATGAAAGGAAACGTGTTCTAATGAGAGAAAACTTTGAAAACAGAGAAAAAGATACATACGTTCATGAGTCAAAAATAAATTATTTTAATAGTAACCATTATCAACGACCCAACAAAACAACCACTACTTGAGCCAATCAATAACCTGTCCATCAGCCTCAACCACGGCAGCACAGCTGAAATCGATACACGGCAAACCACAAACAGAGGCGTTTGTGGGGAGGACTGGCGGACAGGAGATCATTGGCTGATCATTGGCTTTATGAGCTTCGAAAACATATTTTAGCATTAAAAGTAGCTCCTTGTTTTTAACAGCCACCGAAGCCACAGCATCCAGTCGGTGGCAAAGGGGCAAGAGTCTGTGGTGCAAGAAAACTCACCCACACGCCTCCGTCGCCCCTCAGCATGCTGAACAACAGCTTCAGTTCCTTGACTGTGATACTATAGCTGGCCAAGACCCCCAGCATGTCCACTAAGAGATCTGAGGAAGACAGAAAGAAGAGAACAAAATGACTCAGCATTATCGGCGCATAGAACTACCGACTCACGAGGATGATGTCACTTGGGGCAAGAAGCCAATCGTTATCTTTCTGCTGGAACATTATCTAGCGCATGTTCTCCTGAGGCTCCTTTAGTCATCAGATTGCATGGAAACGCAAGTCTATTCATTCACATATTGGCCGTAATGGCTCGGTGTCAAAGCGTCTGCTGATGTAATTTGCGAAACATCTGCGTTATGAATTTAGAAGCTCTTTAAAGCGCTGCGTGAGACATGAAATAATCTAATTTCGAGAAAAATAACAACCCCTCAGCAGTGATGTTTGTCGTGGCATAATATCATTGTAATTTGATTTTGAAAATAACCCAGTTATACGCCATTCACTCAAAGGCCACAAATTTGGTCAAAAATGGACAGAAGCTGGAAGCGTACGAGAACTAATAGTCTGATTAGCAGCGGCATTTTCTAACACGTGGATCTGTCTAAAGAGCGGTAGGAGAGAAGCTTTCTCCCAAATGTGCTCACAGAGACAATTTTACACATTACCCCTGCAATAAATGACGGCCATGGTCCACTGATCACAATTACACAGAAATATTGGACACAGAATGCACAATGAGGGGTTTAGCGATTTTTCTGAAACGTAACGGAGCCAAATCATAGAGGATCGGAACATATGGACGGGCATGTGATACAACAAAGATTAGCACAGAAATGACTGATTCTTTTCTCTTTGGTGAACTGGATTTTTAGTTGACTGAATTATTTGAACTGAAAGCACAGATGTAAACAGTAGACGTGTTCAGAACCAAAGTGCCTTGAAATCAGGGGGCCCAGGACAAAATGTGGGGTCTTTGCATTGCTACAAAAAGTACCTCAGAATAGGCATATACTGTATACCATGAAAAGGCTTATTTACAAAGACGTGGCATAAACACTTTTTATGCAGACTTGTGGAAAATAATAAACTTAATATCACTGCACATGTAAAACATAATTATTAATTGTGACGCACAAACTGACAGAAAATAAACCACACACTGGTTGACAAAGGCAGAGTTTAAAACACTTATTTTACACACAACCAAAACCACCAAAATATGCTGTAATACTCTAAAAAATGCTATTATTATTATTATTATTATTATAAATATGCTTTATGTTTTAGAATAATGTGTATCATTAATAGTAATAATAATAATAATAGATATCTTCTGTAATATTTATATGTATTATTATAATATTTATTTTAAGTTTATTTATTTTTATTTTTATTATATAATAACAATAATAATATTTAAAGTTTATCAATAATAATAATAATAATAAAAACAATAAATTGATATTTATTGTAATATTTATACTATTTATTATTGTGCTATTTAATGTTTTAATAATAATAAAATAATGTTTATTATTATTGTTATTATTAAAAATACTACTGCTAATACAAAAATATAATAATAATAATAATAACAATAATTATAACAATATTTTTTCACTATTCACTGTTCCCAGGACAATGTTCCTGGTTCCAGGTTATCCTACCTGTTGAGGGCCCTGGGCAGATATTCTTTTTGTTTATAATAGTTTATTTGAATTTACAATTTATTGTTATCTGACTAGTAATAACTAGTCAACAAACATGGATCCTGTGAAAGCATCTAGCGATGCTTTACTTTAGAGCTTACCTGCAATCATGTCGTCGACGGAGCTCATCTTCTGCAGCACCTGCTGGATGAGCCCCACCTCGGTGCTGGTCTGTAGGTTGCGAACGCTCTTCCGCAGGATAGCTGTGAACATGCTCTGTAATATTTATACTATTTATTATTTATACTATAATATATTTATTATTGTAAATATTTAATATTCTTTAATAACAATAATGTTTTATTATTATTGTTAATATTAAAAATACTACTGCACATACAAAAAATATAATAATAATATATATCTTCTGTAATATTTACAACTTATTTTT